CCTGTACGAAAGAGATTGATGGAAAATGGTGCATGAATTAAATTGAATTGAAGACTGGAAAATAGAATAGCAATAATAACATGATTGTGTAATTCCTTACGTAAATTTTTATCCGTTAATAGATGATAAAGAATGAATAAATTGCATGCAACAGCCAATGGCATGATAATAAGAAGTATAATGCATTGCGCTTGACTAGGTACATAATCATGAACTGCATGGACTAATGACATGATCAATTGATCTACGTCCGTCGTTGTATTGGTAGTATTCATATACATGGATTTCATTTTGAAAAAGATATACCGTTATTTTGTTTAGATACGTTTGATGTTCAGTTTAACAAATGCAATGTGCAAAGAACATAAGATTACATATATATATATATATAATGGAGATTAAAAAAAGAGAGGGAATAGAAATGACAAAATGAAAAAGATTCTCTAATCGATTGTTTTTAATTAATTTCAGTTACACTCCTACTAATCAAAATGAAGAAAAGAAACTCTATCAAGAATGTTTCAAAATCACATTCTATTTTTATGTCTTCAAAAAGGTCAAGAAGAATAGCTTTTGGTACTCTACAATTGCGTATATCCACCCATCAAGTTTTCTTTCATTTTTCAAAGCAAAAATTTGAGAAATAAATAAATAAACCATTAAATCTGCATTCATCATGAAATACGTCAGAGTGTGGGTATAGGTGTCTACTCTTTCTATTCTCTCCCACGTCTATACCTACACTCACACCCACACCCTCTTAATCTGTTTATATTTGTATTAGAACGAAATGAAAGCTGTCCTATGATTAAATTAGGTTCAAAATATGTCTCTACGAGTTTTCTAGCAAATATACACATTGAATAAAACTCATTCGACTCTTTTCGCTTCATTACGATGTTAACGTACAATTTAACAGTCACTACACGAAATTCCACATAAAGTCACAGATTCTCAGTAATCAACCATGCGCATGGATTCCAAACCAAACGCTAGTTAAAGATCGTTTGTTTCACGATCCTGTTCGTGTCGAATGATATTAAGCATATCTCTCATTCATTTGTACATTCGAAGATATTCTGATCTCATCACAAAATCGCATTTCATATCTCAAGATTTTATTCTAAAAAATCATATATTGAACAGTATTGCTCTTCTCGCTTTTCTTCTTTCTTGAGACACTTTCTCCTCTCTATTAATTAATTTGTTAATAAGCAGTATATCAATCTACTATTTATAAAATACGTCACGTGAATAACGGCACCTCTGAATGAAAATCTGATCCCAATTATACTGTTACAACACACAGCACAAATATAGTGAGCGTTTTATTTATATTTTATTACGCTGATGCCCAACATAGAAACTTATCCCAAAATTCATCAATCGTTTTTTAGTAGTAATCAGTATATCGTCGATACCAGCATTTATAATTGTGCCATTCTTTTATTCCGTTCAACGAACTCATTGATTTCATGGATGAGTCCGCAACAAAGTCGGTTGCCGTTAAGATTTAATTGGGTAACTGTCTGTATCAAAAAGAGCAAATAGAAATATGAAATAGATGAGGAAGAGAATATTTATTACCGTATTATTTCGTAATGCATCTGCTAGATGCTGTGCTCCAGCTTCTTCGATTTCATTGTCATTGAGATTCAATGTTGTAAGTATCTGTATGAAAAAGTGCAGATGGATAATTGAAATAGATGAGAAAAAGAATGATAATTACCGTATTACTTCGTAATCCAAGTGCTAGATGATATGCTCCACCAGGTCCGAGCTGATTGCTTCCTAGATTTAATGTAATAAGTGTCTATATGAAAAAGTGTAGATAGATATGTAAAATAGATGAGAAAACGAACGATATTTACATGCGATAGTAAATTCAAATTCCCAGGAAATTCAAATAAAATAGAAATAAAATAAATTCCCCGGAAATTTATTTCACTCTCTATTAAATACTAAATGTAGTCTGTCATTTATATATGTATATATTTGACTGGGTTGGGTTGGGTTAAGTTGAGTTAGGTTGAGTTGGGTTGGGTTGGGTTGGGTTGGGTTGGGTTGGGTTAGGTTGAGTTAGGTTGGGTTGGGTTGGGTTGGGTTGAGTGGAATTCATTAAAAATGAAATCAAAGGGACTTAGGAAATATATTTTACGTTAAGTGTAATGTGATGAGCTAACATATATCTTTGTCGTTAGCTTAAATCGAAATAGGTTTAGTTAAGTTTCCAAATCAAATATATTATGATACGGAATACGTATAAAATCGTGTGCGGATCTCATGTGAAGGATGAATCGAATTAAGAAATGTTCTATATATGAATAAGAAAGAAATATTATCAGTACAAATATGAACTTATATATCAAAATGGTGATTTCTACGTTTCTTGCAACATTGGAGTCGTGTGCTTCCTTGAGTAACATATAGAAGAGTCTCGCATATCTTGAAGTTTTAAAACTTATTCAAAACTGAGATTTAGTTACATCACAATTATATATTTGAAAAAATGGATAAAATTTATGTAACTTTTTGGATAAGAATAATTCGACCAGTGTGTTTCATATTGACTAGTGACAGAAAACGTTTTTTCATCAATCCGTGATTAATTACATATCTATTGCATACATAGCAGTCTAACAAATAGCTAAACAAGTAACGCTCGTCTAAAAACTCCCGCAGCTCTTTCTCGTAGAACTCGCGTTACTAAAGTACTACCATGCTGTTGATTTATATAATTAAACAAAACAGAAGGTAGACCTGAATTCTTCGTCTCCGATTACGCTTTGGTCAACCCTTATAAAAAATTAATATTTTGTAAAAAGTTAGTCCATTGTGTAGAAAAACTTATTCGAAAACTTTTTAAAAAAACTAACGCCAGATTCTAGTTCCTCGACATCGATTACCCTTCGGCTGGCATCCTACTCCTCTTCTTTTTCCTTTTTTCTTCTAAAAAGTTGTCTTTTCCTCTTCTATTTTTATAAAATCATCTTTTTCCTCTTTTTGAAGAAAAACTTACGAGTTAGGAAAAAATAATCGATGATGTCAGTTCATTTGGATAAATCAATTGACGTCGAACCAATAAAGTCAGTAACAACAATAAAAACGTTCGTAATAGAGGTCAGAATTCCTGATGAAGAAGGAAATGACGGCAATCTTCCTCTGTTAAAAATCTTGGCTTTTGTGCTAAAAATGTTAAACTTTCTCGAGAAGGTTCTTACATTCTCGTGGAAAAATTCTAACAGAAAGTGGCCTTTACCTGTCTTTCGCATAAAATCATGATTGTATTTCTTCTAAAAACTCTGACAGAAAAGCGCTAATTGCAGTATATTTACTACGTATGTCGGAAAAGGTTAGTCAGGATACTCTGCGAAAATTGCCATATTTTTATCAAAGTATTAGCTTTTCTTTCTCAAAAATAATTAAAAATCCAGGTTGAGTCTACAGTGAGAACCAAATAGGCACTAGTAATAGTTGGAACGATTTCAATAAGATCTTTTGATTTGTTAGTGATTGATAGAACCAGCTAGAAGCAATGTGAAATTATGCTAAAATTCGAAAATGCTAAAGTAAAATGTCATTGATGTACGTAAAAACAAATATAAATGTAAAATTTCGATGTTTAAATCCGATTCAGTATGTATTCGGAACTCTTGCAGAGCTTGATCGAAAACCAAAACAATTAGAAATATGAACTGTAACATGATTTTTAGGAATTCGTCTGATCGGTAATATTGAAGCTGAATTATTAATGAAGCGCCCCGAATTTCAAAAACTGATCGCGTGTTCTCTCTCACAGGATTACAGTTTGCCTATTCTTAGTCAGACTAAAAAGAACATGATGAAAGCTATATTACAGTATATTCAAAAATCAAATTATTTTCTCTTACACGATTTGCTTGTAGTAATCAGTTTCTTTCGAATTCTTAGTGATTTCATACAATGAAAATCAAACAAAATAAATACTGCGTGTTGCAGCTGGATCAAGGGGTATACAACAGAGACCTCATGCCTGAAGTCTTCTATAATTTCTATGGATGCATGTATTCCACGAGGAAACGAGGTATAAACAACAGAGACTTCATGCGTGAAGTCTCATGATATCTTAGAAGTTTTCGAAGTCTTCTGAAGTCTTTCGAAAAACCGATGTCTCGCTTGTTGAAGTCTCTTGAAGTCTTGAAGTCCGCTGTTGTCCCCTTGAGCTGGATGAAAAAGTTTTCGCACCTATTTAGAAGTTTTTGTTACGGGTTCAAGAAACGAAACTTTCGAAATTTTTGTCCAATTTATTTTCTTTGATATTCTCTGTCTTGCAAAAATTTTCCCTTTTATGCCTGTATCTCGTCATGAAGAGAACAATCGTTTATCACATATAAACAAAATTACTATGAATAGTAACATCATTTTTACTCCTTTTTCGTATATGTTAGTTCTTTCTGTTTAACTACTACAAAAAGAAAACAATTTTTCACATTGACAATATTTCTAGTTTCCAGTTCCTCATTTATATGTATTCGATTAACGAGATATCACACTAGAATAGTTTCCCAACAACACCTATGCCTTTTTCGTGGTTTTTCCATAAGTCTCTCTTTCTGCGGTCGATAAAATACGAATTGCACGACCATAACTATCACCAAAACACACTATTTATCTCTTGAGTTTGCTATATCAGTACTGAAACCTGATAATAAAGCACTAATTTATCGATTGTGTGAACGTTTATCGACATTTTAGAAGCTAAGACTATACAACTGTTTTCTCCTCTTTTTTTTATAAAAATCCTCTATTTTCTCTAAATGATGATTCTCTTTTTGCCTCTTTTTCTACAAAGTGCTGGTGGAATGCAAGCCCTTCGGTCGACCCTTATAAAAAGAATTCGTTTTCTATTTTTACCTAATTTTCAGACTAATTGGTGAAGTGAGAACACACGAAGAAGAAAGCAATCATTTTATTTTTGCTAGACTCTTCTCTACGAGAAACAGAATATTATAGTATCTACAGCATTATCTCCATATCAAAATGAATTTCCATTATGTATTCAGCTAACCCAACCCATCCCAATCCAGCCCAGCTAACCCAACCCAACCCAACCCAACCCGACCCAGCTAACCCAACCCATCCCAGCTAACCCAACCCCACCCATCCCATCCCAACCCAACCCAACCCGACCCAGCTAACCCAACCCATTCCAACCCAGCCCAGCTAACCCAACCCCACCCATCCCAACCCAACCCAACCCAACTCAACCCATCCCATCCCAACCCAACCCATCCCAACCCCACCCATCCCAACCCAACCCATCCCAACCCCACCCATCCCAACCCAACCCATCCGATCCCAACCCAACCCATTCCAACCCAACCCATCCCAATCCAACCCGACCTAGTTAGTCCAACCCACCCAACTCAATCGATACTCGAAAGTTATACTTTGTTTCTGTATATGTAAACGCTAACTACACTTAGTATTTAATGGAGATTGAAATAAATTTCCAGGGAAATTATTTTATTTCTATTTTATTTGAATTTCCAGGGAATTTGTCTTATATTTATTTTATTTAAATTTCCGGGAAATCGGAATTTACCATGCCCTCGATATTTACTGTATTATTTCGTAATACATATGCTAGATGGTATGCTCCATCAGGTCCAATCTGATTGCTGCCGAGATTTAATGTGGTAAGTGTCTATATGAAAAAGTGTAAATAGATATATAAAATAGATGAGAAAAAGAACGATATTTACTGTATTATTTCGTAATACATATGCTAGATGCATTGCACCTACATCTCCGATATTATTGTTTATGAGATTTAATTCGGTAAGTGTCTATATGAAAGAGTGCAAATGGATACATGAAGTAGATGAGAAAGAAAATGACAGTTACCGTATTATTTCGTAATCCATCTGCTAGATGTTTAGCACCTGCATCCCCGATATTATTGTCTATAATATTTAACTGAGTAAGTGTCTGAATCAGAAAGTGTAGATAGATGTATGAAATAGATGAAGAAAAGAATAATAATTGCCGTATTAGTTCGTAATCCAACTGCTAGATGCTGTACTCCAACTTCTCCGATTTCATTGTAGTGGAGGCTTAATGTGGTACGTGTCTGCATGAAAAAGTGGAGATAGATTTATGAAATAGATGAAGAGGCACGAGGAGTTACTGCATTATTTTATGAGATGTTAATGAAATCTTGTGAAGAAGGATGAGGATGGAAAGTGTGATTTGTTCTGTTTTCGCAATCTATGATATCAAGAAATTTAATTGTCTTCAAATTGTTTGGTGTGGTTATTGCGGTCCTCGGTTATGTTCATTGTCTGATGCGTTCCCGGATCGATCATTGTGATGATCGTTGTCTATAGTACCTGATGTATGTTCTATCGAAATTCGACATTATTAAAAAACTCATATCTAGTGTTGATAAAAATAATACTAATGAAATTTGCAGTAAATAGGTTCTAGCTGACGAAATCCGATGTAGTTTTGTCTCTAGATTCGCATCGGATTTAGTCAGATGATCGGATCTTGTGGGGTCTCGTTAGATCCGTGTTAAGTTTTATTAATCTACGCTCATCCACTTCTCACTCTCATCTGCTCTCTGATTTGATCAGTATATTTTGAGTCTCCTTATTTTTCCTTGAATAGCCATTTTTTAGTTTGCAGTACTGCTATCCGTAGCTGTATAAGTGTTTAAGATCTATAGATGTAATTCTTAAGTATTATCACATTTATTTATTCTGGTATCCGCCGTTAATTAAATTGAACTATAATCTGCTTAAAGTAATATGTGTTCATATGAATTGATTTTTTTTCACCCAAAAATTCCTGTGGAGACTTCAGTCTTTGTCAACATGAAAGATGTGTAAATAAAAGTGTAGATGTACATGTAAAAGCCATTCCTTTTTCCTATCTCTTTTGAATAATGCCCGTGCGTGAATAAAAATAATATAATAGCAGTGGATTGTTCAGAAAAGAATGAAAAAAAGGATTGCTTTGATGTATATACTCTCATTTCTTTCATATTGCTTTGGTGATGCAAATAACTTTTTTGAGTGCATTAATACTTGCTGAAGCAGTATGCTTTATTATTTTTTTATTCAGTAATATCCTCTCAAATCTATGGACTGTAAGAATGGGAAATGTTTCGAAGATAGACACTGATGATTAAAAAAAGGTTTACCTGATATCGGTGATAGCTATCAACGATTGTATCAAATCGTCGACAGACATTTCGCATTGAGCACAGCATTGTCAGATCACTCTGATGGTCCAAAATTCGGTAGACAATTTCCACCGGTAGTGTAAGAAAAGTAAGAGGCATTTTATTTGACATTGATTACGATTATTGCAATGAGCTTATATGCCGGTGTAATGAAGTGTGCTGTTTGCTTTGCTTGTTTCGTTCCTCCATGTGAGTTGATATTTGTGATGTGTCATAGATTTCTGATAGAGATGAAATTACTTATTTGAAGAAAGAGAAGGCAGAAAAGAGATATCAATAGCAACATCGAAGTAACCAGTGAAGTTAATGTATTTGTTGCTTAAGTTTTAGTAAGAAGCTAATATGTAATAAAGACGAGTATTTTGTTATTAACATGCTTGAATAGAGTCCGAATGAGATATTCTTTGAATTTACTTATTCTTAACATTGTATTTGATTATTTTACGAGAAAATTAAATGGATGTATAGTGTAAAAACAAAACAAAAATGCGTTATTTATGTTTGCTATAGGTTGCATGAAACAACATCATATTAGTTATCAGTTTGCTACAAATATCCATAGTCAAAAATTAGAATCTAACACATGAATCGAAGAAAAAGAACACTACTGACCGTCATAGTTGAGTAAATTACAATTATTTTATTGATTTCAGACATTATGAAGAAATGGTTTCAAATATTGAACCTTAAAAAGATAGAGTATATCTACAAAAAGTCATCTATCTCGTTCTATCAGAAGTGTGTGAATTTAGTTCAACCTTAGTTAAACTTAGAAGCGCTGGGTGTAGGTTTGGGTCGCGGTGAGGACTTGGTTGAACCTAAGACTCACACTCACACCTACTCATCCACATTCCACCCACTCTTGGTAGAATATAGTTGAGATCAATAAATTAAATCTATTTCTTCTGTTGAAAACAATAGATTCATCTGTTTATTATTGAATTTCATCTCTCATGAAACTTTTAATCGAACAAAAAAATTCTTTGAGAATTTAATTTAACATTAAATTGACGTTTACTTTGAAGATACGATTCCATATTGAATTTGAAATTGAATAGTTAATTATTTTATGAAAGGACACAGCATTTTACTGACTTCTCATTGTTTTTTAATAGAGAGATGTATTATACATTAATCATTAGAAGTAATAACATATGTCTTGAAATATCCTACTTATACAATGAGTCCTAATTTTTTCTCTTCGCGAGGATGAGTGCGAGTATAAGTAGAGTTTTAAATAAGACATACACCCACAGTTGTGTTTCATTACTATAAACTGAATGAGAGTGAAGTAAGAGATCTGATCATTTTGTGTTTTTTACAATAATTATTTATTTGACAAGGATTAATGTCATTTTCATACAGCAAGTTTAAAAAAAACGAAAGTAAATATCGTCAGGTAAACTTTGATAAATAATCTTCATTACTTGATAAAATACAGAACGAAAGAAGTGAAAAATAAGTATCGATAATCTCACGAACGAATACATCGAATACTGGGTGAAGAATTTCATTTATGATTATTTTTATGGTTTTATTCTCCGTTATAAACGAATAATATTTACAGATGAAGTAAATCGATCTGCAAATATTTATGTTAATATCAAATCGTATTTGTGTCTTCATTTTTTGTAAAAAGAAAATAAATTCTTCTACTCATGGGTAACTCAAAATCTACCAGAGGATTTGCTAACGAATCTGAATATCAATATCAACCACCTGGACCAAATGATTCTCGTTCACCATGTCCTGCACTAAACGCTCTTGCTAACCATGGTTATTTACCACGAGATGGGAAAAATATTCCACAGGAAGTTCTACAACGAGCTGCACAAGTATTAAAACTTCTATTAATTATATGAATTTTTTTAATTTTTATAGCAAAAAATGGGCTTGAGTTGGTTAGCTACAAAAGTTATCCTTAAACAATCATATAAAACTGCCGGTCATGATGGTTTACTTTCACTTTCTGATCTTTGTTATCATGCACCAGATAGTATTGAACATGATGGTTCACTTAGTAGAATAGACGCTACTTTATCAAATAATCAACAAGGAAAATTTAATCAAGAACGTTTCGATAAATTTCTATCTTTTTCTAAAGATGGTAAATATTTAACAACAGAAGATGTTGCTGCAGCTCGTCTATATTTCAAAGCAGATAGTCATGCACATAATCCTCAATGTATATGGAATAAAGATATTGAAGAAGCAATGTGGACAGAAGCTTCAATTCTTCTACATATATTAGGGAAAAATGGAAGAATTAGTATTGAAGATGCAAAATTATTCTTTGAAAAAGAAACATTTCCATCAAATTGGCAAAAACATCCTTCATTTGGTGTACGTGAACGATATACCGCTGCGAAAGCATTGAAAAATGCAGCACGACGAATTAATAAATAACATTTGAATGAGAATGTGAACAATCATATTTTTAGAATACATCCGATCAAATAAATATTTTATTCTTACTTTGAGGACCTGTGAGTGATTATATAATGATTTAAATATTGAACTTGAAATATCGAAAAAAGAGTGTAACATATATCAAGAATTTTTGATCATGCTCGAGGGTACGGATGTATGAAATGATGACAGCGCTCACCCATACCCTTAAGATGATTTCTACTCTAAAACTGGATTTTTTCGACCAATACGATTAGTTTTTGTCGCAAGTGATTGATTAGGAGTGGATGTGAGTGTGGCTGTGAATGCTCTTTTCTTATTGCCACTCATATCCACATTCTCATTCAAAATCCAGTTATTCACTTTCGACACATCATAGGACTTTCATCAGACCTAATACATATTAATAAATCATGTGTCGCCTCCTGTTACAGGTATTTCCAACGCATAGAGTACGGCAAAGTCGGGTGGGTACTAAAATTATGTATTAGTAACACAATTATTATTGCCACACAAAAATAAAGTTTGAAGAAAATTTATATTTGGATGACAATATGAGCATATCTATCTATGTGTCATTATTAATAATATCTTGAAGCGTTCAAACTTTCGGTATTTTGAACCAATGGGTGTGGGTGTGGATGAAGGCCTATGAATACATCTGCATTTTCATAAAAACGCGAATGATGTCCTTTGATAGTTGAGTAAAGTTCTCTTCTAGTCCTTTCGTAAGTAGAAAATGGCAATGATTATTAATAGTTATATTATATCGAAGAACTTTCACAAGTTATTGAAGCTCTTTTTTCTACATCTTTAATAGTACTCTCATATCAGTTTACGATTTTTCATTTGTCATAATATGATATAAAGTAGAATATAATACATTGTAGTATTAATTTGTTCATACGTCACCACATTTATCTTTTTTGAAAAAAATAAACGATGAATTGTACTTTTAGATTCACGAACTAGAATAAGTCTCACGAATTAATTGACAGTATTTGTTCTAGTTATCTGACTTTCATCAATATAATTTTTTATCACAAATATCAAACGTTTTGAATCACAACGTGCTTAATGAAAAACAATGATGCTCGTATAAATTTTGAAGTAGAACAAGTATCGCTCTTTTCCCCTCAGCTTCTGTACATATCATCTGCAAACCGATGCAAAAGAGAATTTCAGTATTGATAAATATATTTATATTGCTTAGGAAGACAAGCATGTCGATTATTTGTAGTCTAGTTCTCACAAATGAAAAATTTGTAAGTTTGTTGCTTTTATATAGAAAACTTCAACTGAAATTGGTATGTTGTTTCATCATTTTTAGTAAAAGCATTGCAAGTTGTCAACGTTTATTATATTTTCGCTCAACATAAATAAATTTGACTGAACTATTTCTATTGGTTAATATTGGATGAATCGCTGTTAAGTATAAAGAAGCCATATTGATTGTATATTCAATAAAATGTCTTGTTATGCGAGTTTTTATGTTAAGAATTGATCATAATAAAATTAAATAATAAATTTTTTTTCAAACATCTTTATTCAATACTATAAATAGATAAAAAAAATTGTTTTGTTTTGACAGATGATGCTAATTAATTATTAGTTATTTTTTTCTACCAATAGAAACCTTTATTTTTTTTTAATAGCGTCAAGTTAATCTTTTTTCGTTCTTTCGCACATTTCTTTTTATTGATAAAAAGTAGAGAGATTCCCAAATTATTTACTGTACTTTATCAATTATAATATGAATTCTTCATATTAAGTCATCTTTAGTTAATTCTATGAACTATGTACATATATATATATCTTACGACTAGTCAATTCTAATCATGATTAGGTTTTAATGATAATTTCTCATGGAAGTTTTATTATTTCCGGGAAAAGAATTATGTAAGAATACTTCCGTGTAATCAAAAATGAGATTTCATAGTATATATTGATAATCTGTTAGACATTTTTTTTAGTAGACATGAGTGTGTGATAAACAACTTTAGTAGGTATTAGTATGCAATTCACTTCTTCGCATCCCCATACTTCATACAGATCAAATATACTTAGTAAGCATGAATCATCTACTTGAATTTTTGACGTATAAATGTTGTACATTTTATATAAGACAATGAATATGATCTATTTTTATGTGAAAAACTTCAAGAAGATATTTACTTATTTTTTAATTTTTAATCTAAATTTTAGATAAATTAAATCTTAATAGCCATGTCGGCATTAAAAATGGGTGGAATAATAGAAATACAAATTTATCCATAAATAATCAAATATGGATGCCGATTTTAAGGCTCAATTAGATCAAGAAAGAACTAAAGTTGAAGATGCATTCGATTTTCTTGGTTGTAAAGTTGGTCGAGGAACATATGGACATGTATATAAAGCAAAGAAAAAAGACGGGTATAAACATATATATATATAACCTTGTAGTATAGTAGAATGTTACATGATCGTATCATTTTTTTACTATACACTAAAGTCAATTTTAGTGATATTTATTTTTCTTGTCTTTGATCATGTGTTTTTTTTATTACCTGTTCTTTTTCTCTGTTTAGAAGTGACACACGAGATTATGCATTAAAACAAATCGAAGGTGATTTGAATAGAACAAAAAAAAAGAATAAGAAAGAACTCATCTTAAATCTCTAATTATTTCTAGGTGTTGGTTTATCAACAAGTGCGTGTCGAGAAATTTCTGTAAGCTATTCTTGTTTAATAATAAAAATTAGTAATTTGTTTTTTATTATAGTTACTACGTGAATTAAAACATGTTAATGTTATAACATTACAACGTGTATTTCTTTCACATGCCGATCGTCGTGTTTCTTTATTACTTGATTTTGCTGAATATGATCTTTGGGTAATAGAAAGATATTGAAAAATGATTTATAGAAAATTTTATTTTATTTTATTTTTAAAGCATATTATTAAATTTCATCGTTCAGCAAAACAAAATAAAAAAACTGTTACATGTGCACGTGGAATGGTAAAATCTTTACTTTATCAAATACTTGGTGGAATACATTATTTACATTCAAATTGGATACTTCATCGAGATCTTAAACCAGCTAATATTTTAGTGATGGGAGATGGAATCGAACGTGGAAGAGTTAAAATTGCAGATATGGGTTTTGCACGTTTATTTAATTCACCTTTGAAACCAATGGCAGATCTAGGTAAATATGGTGTAATTTTGTTAATTATTTCGTATTAAAAACGAAACAGAAATCAATCCGTATTAGACGGTATTCGAATTAAATTTTACATTAATTCTAGATCCTGTGGTTGTCACATTCTGGTATCGTGCACCTGAATTATTACTTGGCGCTCGGCATTATACAAAAGCAATTGATATTTGGGCAATAGGGTATTTTTTTGAATCTATTAACAAAAGAAAAGAAAGAATTAAAACGATTTCTGTTTCCTTGAAATAGATGTATATTTGCTGAATTATTGACCTATGAACCAATATTTCATTGTAAACAAGAAGATATCAAAACAAGTACACCATATCATCATGATCAACTTGATCGAATTTTTTCCGTTATGAGTTTTCCAGCTGGTACATTATTTTAAGAAAACATTTTATTTAATCATTTATTCTTTTCTCTCTATCTCATCTTTTAAGATAAAGAATGGGAAGATATGAAAAAAATGCCAGAATATACACGTTTATCGAAAGAATTTAAAAAGAGCAAGTAAGTTTATTTTTTAACAAAAATAATTCGTTCAAACACAAAATCTTCTTTTCTTTTAGTTATGCAAATTACAGTCTGAGTAAATATATGGATAAACATAGTGTTCGATCAGATAGTCGAGCATTTCAATTATTAACACGTTTACTTACTATTGATCCAACCAAACGATTATCAGGTATTGATTGATTTTTATTTCTTTAAATGATTATCCATATATATTCTTGTTTTTTCTCTTATATTAGCATTAGATGCAATGAATGATCCATATTTTAAAGAAGATCCACGACCTACTGATGAGTAAATTTTAAAAAAAATAATTTTCTAAGATTTTAATTTACATTTCGAATTATCTTTTTTTTTTTCAATTAAGTGTATTTGATTCTGTTCAAATTCCTTATCCTAAGCGCGAATTTATAACTGATGATGATTCATCTGATGCCGGTACACGTGTTGCTAAAACAGAACCAACGATTATGGTTAAAACAGAAGCTGCATCTGTTGTTCTTACGCAACAACAAACATCTCATGTAACTCATAGCCAACAACAATTAACAAACCAACAACAACAGCAACAGCAACAGCAACAGCAACAGCAACAGCAGCAACAACAACAACAACAGCAAAATATACATATTAAACAACAACCACAACAGCATAATAATATTGTTCAACAAACACATCCTCAACAAGTATGTTAAATAGAATATATATTATGAATGATAGTTGAATTTTTCATAGTTATTTTCTTTCAGAAGTCATTTAATCACTCTATAGAGTTGAGCACTGAGACGGAAAAAGTCTTGAATTTTATGAGAAGAATAAATTTCTATATGAAATTAAATTGTCGAAAATATTAATCTAAATATCCTTTAATTTTTATGACACTCATCAATATCATATTTTAAAAATTGTAGAAGAGAAAGGATTAAATAATATTCAATATGATATCTTTTTTAGATGAAATTAATGCAACAACATCCATCTAATATAAATGTTCAAGGGCAACCACCTGAAAAGAAATTACGTGCAACGGGTAGTTATGCAGGTGGTGATCCTTCAAATTATGATTATCAAGTAAATACACATATCTTTCTACCCGTATTTAAATAATATAATTCATATTTTTTAGCGAAATCCAAATCAGCAACAGCAACAGCAACAAATGTATCAACAACAGCAGCAGCAACAACAACGATTTTAGTTTGTTCATCTATATCTATCTTTTTTCTCGCTCTATATATAAATATATATATATATATGTATAAATAATATTTATTTATTCGTGTATTTCTTTGTTGAATAATTATTTGTAAGCGATTGTTTTTTTTTCATTCTCCGTGTTATTATTATTAATTTAGCTAAATATATACAACAAAAAAATAAAGCCATACATATTCATTGTATTTGTTATTGTAGATGACAAGTGTAACAAATTTTCGTTATACAACCTCTCCAATAATTATCATTCTAGGGGCAACAGCTGTTGGAAAAACGAAATTATCTGTTTATTTATCTAAACGTTTTAATGGAGAAATTATTAATGCTGATTCAATGCAAATATATGAAGGTTTAGATATTGCAACCGCTAAACCAACAATTGAAGAACGAGATAATGTTCCGCATCATTTATTTAGTTATGTAAATCCACTTGATCGTTCACATACTGTTGTAGATTATAGAAATGATGCATTACCAATTGTAAGTTTATTTAGGTTGTCATTTTTACGTAAAAAGGCTCATTCGAAATCGAAAAAAATTATACATCTATCCATTGTATATCGATTTTTTTCATAGGTTGAATCAGTTTTGTCTCGGTCACATCTTCCATTTATTGTCGGTGGTACAAACTATTATATTGAATCCTTACTCTTTCATCTTAATCCACCAGAACCAGTGACGGAAAGTTCATCTAATGAACAATTCTCTTCACTAGCATCGGATTTATCAGATGAAAACCTATCGAAATTAACATCTGTTCAATTACATGAATTATTAGCTAAAATTGATAAACCTACAAGTATTCGAAAACATCCAAATGAAGAACGTAAAATTCGAAGGTACGATTATACTGATTGGAAAGAAAAAAACAGCCCATAGCTCTAAAAAAGAACAGAAAAAAAATTCCTATTGGATAATTATGACTGATTTGACGTATGAATAATAAATAATCGAAGTGAAAACGAAGGAGTACGTAGAAAAGTACAAGTATAATTTATATGAATCAAAATGAAACTTGACCAAATCATACGAATCATAAATAATTATTCTTTTTATGATTTATTCTAATAAAAAATATTTAGAGCTATTGAATTTTATCGTGAATCGGGTGGTATTCCACTAAGTGAAGCATTAAAAAAACAACATGCAGAAAGTGGATTTTCATATCGTGGAACATTTCGTTTTCAACGTTGTTGTCTCTTATGGTTAACATGTCAAAAAGAAGGTATATTTTAAAGAAATAAAGATATATTTGATAATTTTTTTCTTAAAATTATCATAGAATTAGAAAACCGTATTAATAATCGAGTAAAATCAATGCTTGACCGTGGTCTTATTGATGAATTATCAAAATTTCATGATGAGTATAATCAAACATGTAAAGAATCAGAACAATCATATGATTATACTCGTGGAGTCTTTCAAGCAATTGGCTTCAAGGAATTTCATGATTATTTACTTTTATCAGAAGATGAACGAAAAAGTGAACATGGTGAAAAAGTATTTGCTAATGGTAGGTAAGTAAAATACACTGAAAAAAAAGGGTTTCTATGTTTGTAACGAATCCGAAACCCTTTTTTGGCTTCTGTGATGTATAGACATAGATTGTTATTGTTCGTTTTGTTTTCGTTCTTTCTTTCCTTTCTTTCGTTCTCTTGTATACACTAGGATTATTTTCTCTTGAAATAATCCCTGTTCTTGTTGAGGAATATTCCTTCTTCCACGCATATTCCATCATATATATAGACGTGTGAGAAGATTAATTTTCGATCATTTATTTATTCTTTTGTTTTAGCTATTGAACGTCTTAAACTTTCTACGAGACAATATTCAAAATATCAAGAAAAATGGCTTCGAATGCGTCTTCTTCAACGTAAATTATTTTTTTAAGAAAATATAATTTCTTATGATATTTAAAATATTTATTTTAAAGGTGTTGAGGAACATTCACCTGATGTTTATGAACTTGATACAACTAATTTATCGTCATGGACAGAAAATGTTGAACAACGAGCAGAAGCTATTATTAATGCTTTTTTAAAAGTAATTTTTATGGTTTTATTTTTTCAAAGATCTAATAATCTTGATTTAGAATGAAACTATTCCATTCGATGCTCTTCCAAAAAAACAGATCGATGAACCCGTATATGAACAAAATACATGTTCAACATGTGACCGAGTCTTTCATTTAAAATCACAATGGAATGGTAAATAATATATAAAATTAATTTTTTTTGAAGAATATTTTTATGTTTGATATATATCTATATGTATATAGATCATCTAAAAAGTAAACAACATAAACGAATGGTTCGTTCAACAGATCGAGCAACATTTCGTCGAAAATTAGATAATGCTCTACCATCATTAATGAACACACTTGATATATTAGAAAAGAAAAAGATGTTGGAAAATGAAGAAGAGAGTGATGAATTTGATATAGATAAAGAAATATAAACAACATAAAAAAAAACGAATTTATTGATTTTTGTTATTGTTTATTGTTTGTTCTGTTTCTAGAAAAGAAAAATATTTTGTTTTTAAAAAAGAAAGATAAAAAGATTATTTTAAATGGTAAACAAGAGAAGCAATCTTGTAGAAGTAAGAGAGAAGAAAAGAATAACGAAGCATACACTAATGCAACTAATATGAATATATTCAGAAATGATTTCGTCAATTTTCGTTTAAAACGAAATTTTAATACGAAATTCATCTTGTTCTGTTTCTCGTAGAGAAGAGTCCAGTAGAAATAAATTGTCTATATAGGGTCAAAAAAACATCGGAAACTGATTTTTCACGGATTTCGATTGTTTTTCCAGTAAATGTGAAGAGGATGCATTTCTACGAGAAAGACCTCAGCGAGTCATCGGCCGAGCGTTACTTGTGGATAATAACTTTCTTTTAAAATTACTTGAAATATGTCGTATATGAATATATATCAATTAAATCTATTATGTTAATTCTAATTGATTTACACACAATGAATATTTATTCTAGTTGATCAAATGTATAAAAACGAACACGAAATGTCATCATTTTCGAACAGTTTCTTGTCTTTGCTTTCTCTCGCGCTTGTCTAACATATCAATGAACTATATATCGATAAATTAATTTCTATTTCAGAGGCGTCTATATGAATATGCGTTGCATGCTGTTTATTCTACATTACATGTTATTGAACCAGGAGCAACAAGGGATCAACTTGCTGATCACATAGCGAAAGTATATTTACCTACATAGGATTAAATTCGATAAAAAAAATTTCTTTTCTATTGATAGCTGTTTAATATTGATCCAGAAGAACATGAAACGAAATATAAGCGAACTCTTAAGGCACAAGTAAAGTTTTATGGAGAGAAAAAAAGAAGTTTTTATCATATTGAATGTTTTAGGCATGTTCTGTTACGTTATTTGTTGATGTTAAAAAGGCACGTGATTTACTTGGTGAAGATGAAAATGGTTTGCTAGAATAAATCTATTGTTTTTTGTTCTATTGAACAGATTTATTTTTTTCGTTGTAAAAGGTCTTAGTGATCCTTATTGTAAAGTAAGCGTTGTTTCCGTTCCAAACAAGTCAGAGAATCTCAATGATATGACAACAGCTACATCTTATTTATCATCTCCAGACTCACCTATTCCAATAAAAAGAAGTCGATCGTTTTTCTCTTGTATTGCACCACGTATGTCAATAGAATATATTCTTTAAGTAGAAGAAAATCTTTCTATTTCATTTTATTTTAGCATCAAGACCTAAATCGAAATCATCTACAGGAGTAAATAAACAACGAAAGAGTCGAAAAACTTCGAAAGATCATACATCAGCAATATCAACAGAGAGAAGGAAAACATTGCCTAAACTTATTTTTCGTACTGATGTTCGTCCTAAAACAATTAATCCAGAATGGAATGAACATTTTGAATTGTAAATCGATTATATCTACATTGTAGAGATGTGTGAGATCAAATATATATTGAATTCCGGTTAGTGTGATCTGAGCGCACTACCGATCTTCGTTTCGATTATGAGAACTTATTCAGCTCTTTAGTCATCTACCTTAGTAAAATATTACTTGAGTAGTTCTGATCTTACACATCTCAACTAATATTAACAAATCTTATCTATTAATGATGTATGAAATATAATTTTCATCTATTTAGTGAAATAGAAAATGTTTATACACAAGAACTACTTATAAGTGTATTTGATTCTGATCGTGGTCAAATACCAGGAATGAAAACACTTGTTAAAGAAAAACGAGGTGTTACAAAGTTAGTCAAGTTTTTCTAGAAATATATTTATCTATTATAAATAATTTTATGATATTCTATTAGAAAAATTCGTGGTATGCGAACTCTATTCGCAACAGGGCAACTCGACGATGATTTTCTCGGTCAAGTTATGGTTGATATAAAAGTTAGTATTTTGACATATATTTTTTTTTAATTATGTAAATAAAATTTATTTCTAGTCTTTAGCTACATCTGATCATGAAAAATGGTATCCTTTAACAGGAATGAATCAGACACATGCAAATAATAATAAATCACGAGGCGAAATTTTACTCGGATTAAAAGTTCATTTTAAATTGGCAAGTAAAATGAGAAAAAAAAATTATTTTTCAATATTACCGTATAAATAATCTTACAAATGATCAAAAAGGAAAGCTTGTCTCCTTCTTCTTCTCTTTTTAAAGGTTACCAAAATCTGCTCTTAATGCTTTTCCTTAAAATAGAGAATGTTTGTTTTTTTTTATCGATATTCCTCTTTTTTTTTAAGGATGAGAAAAATTCTAAAGGTCGTCATTGGGTAACAAACGAAAATGTTTTACAATTCCATCGTCGTCATTCAACATTATCATCTGCGGGTCAAACACCTACATCGATTATCTTACGTTCAAATATTTTCCGAAAAAATTTTCGTCCAGCATCATTACAAGTTCGTGATTATACAAGAACAAGTAGTAAGAAGAAATCTTTTCTAAAGAAAATAAACTTATGAAAAAATAAAAAAATTTAGTTTTTGAAAATGATGATCCAGCAGCACATTCAAATTCAGGTGATTCAATATTAACACTAGCTACTGATTCAGATTTACCATTATTAATTGAAGAATATCATCAATTATTTCGAATCATTATATTACATCAATTAGAAGATACACGAGAATTAGTAAAATATTTTTTTTGTCTCTTTGAGAAATGAGATTCATTTATCTTTTTAGAATAAAGATAATTTCAATGGATTATTTATTGATTGGGATGGTGGAATAAATGAATTATCTTCTAGTGTTCTTCTACAATTTCGTGTCCTGTATAATATTTCAGTTTTATCTCAATCTTTTATGTAAATATAAATTATAAACAGAATTCATATTTTCGTTATAAATATTTGTATGTATAGACAATTACTTGTTATTTTGGAACTTCGATGTTCAGAAGATTATGCATTATTTATTAGTCAAGCTGTTATTGAAGCTTATTTTACAATATTTATGGGTTTAGTAAAAGAACGAACAAATGCTAATGATCTCGATTTTACTGATTATGAAGTAAAAATTTTATTATAATTAAGAAAAATCTTGTATTTATTTTTCTAGAAAACAATGTTTAAAGAAATTTTTTATTTATTTATTGGTCATTATAAACAACGTGTGCATAATGATAAATCATGGTTTCCACCATCAAAAGAAAGTTTACCAAATATTCAAAGTGTATTTGAGTAAGTTTAGATTTGATTTACATAAATAAATGAAGCAAAAACATCAATCATTTCGAAAAAAAAGTACATTTTTCATAATTTACATATCATACACAATAGTACTTTTTCTAGTTAAAGTCAAATTAATTCTTCGATATACGTTAACAGCGATACTAGATTAATCTAGGTTATCGAATAAAGATTGTGGAGATCACTCCGGCTCGTGACTAGAAATGTGCGGGACCAAAAAAATCCAAACTCACAGCGACCGGGATCGGGACTGAAAAATTAAACTGTACCGAAACCGAAGCTGGGACCGGGATAAAAAGAAAAGCTTTACGGGGACCGAAAAACATTTACCAGGACCGAGACCGAGACCTAATAAAAAAATTTTACTGGGACTATTGCCGGGACCGGGACCTAAAAAGGTTGTTCCCGCATATCTCTACTCGTGACAGTTCTGATGATAATTTCAAATATGATATCTATTTTCTTTTATACTATAAATCACTAGGCAATCATTAAAACCCGTTTATTTAAATAATGAAATTTTTTAGCATACTTCGTATTTTATTAAAATTAAATATTTGTTCAAACGAAGCAGTAATGATAGAACATCTCGGAGACACAATACGACTTCGTTTACAAAATGATATTAATGATTCATTTGATCTACATACATTTGTAGTTAATGAAAAAAATGAAATACAATTACATACTGCTCGAGATTTTCTTGATTATGTTAAAAAATTAGCTGAATCAATGTCACTTATACCGGAATATGATGAAATCTGTACAAAATATAATGCAAATTATATTAAAATATGTTTTTTTGGAAGCAATAGTGCAGGTGATCGTGTAAGATTAGATTTTGTTTTTTTTGTAAAAAAAAATGAATTTATTTTCATATTTATAGTTAGCAGAATTGACAAAATGTTTATTAAAAAATATGATAGATTCTTTTCAAACATATTCTAAACCAGTAGTAAAAGCAACATCATCTATATACGATCCAAATTTAATTCAAAATTCAACTGTACTTTTAAATTTGTATTTATATTTACAAACAATTGTTACAGCATTAAGAAATAATCATACAGAACAGTAACATTTATTTATTTTTTTATTGATAAATATTATTTTCTTATTGAATAGAGATTGGGTTACAAATGCATTTAAATTAAAATTAATTGAATATCGTCAATGGTTTTCACCAACAATGAAATTTTTATTAGAAGGTTTTGTTGCAAATATTAGACAAGCAATGGAAAGAGCTGTAGAAGATGATAGTGAAGTAAGCTAAAAAAAAACGACTAGTATTTATCTTGAGGGTGGGTGTGAGGTGTAAATGTAGACAGATCTGTAAGTTGGGACGCAATCACTTTACCGAAAATAACTTTGCCGACATATCACTTTACCGACGCCACTCTGCCGTAAGGATGGGTGTGGGTGTGGGTGTGGGTGTGAGTGTGCTGTGTTTCAGATATTCTCACATTCTCACCCTCAAACATTTGTCGGCAAAATAAAACCTGTCGGCAAAGAATAACTTTCGACAATACAATCTTTCGACAAAGTGTAGCGGACCCCTGTGAGTTGGCTTGGCGGTAAATGTTTCTTCTTTTTTCAAACATTCCCACCCCATACATATCTTCAAGATCGAAATAAAGCATTGAACTTATATCAAAATCTATTATCTCTTTTTAAGCTTATTCCTGATGAAAATATTATTCTTTATTCTCAATCATCTATGGCAGCTACTAGTCTATGTATAAAAGTATATTAATACTTAATTTTCTATTAAAAACAAATTATCTTAATTAAATTAATTTTTTTAGCTTTGTCGAGAATGGGAATCAATTGATTATCCTGATATTAATGTACGTTATACAGCACTTATTAAATTAACAAATACGATATGTGAACAATGTCAACATTATGCAAGACGTACAGCACGTAAATTATCTGAAAATGCTTATTTTACTGATTTAACACGTACACGATCGTTTAATGTTACAAAAAAAGTTTGTCAAAACGAATTTTTATATTTTTATTTCAATTTATCTATTGAAAATTTTAGTTATGTATGTTAGTTAATGATATAGAATATGTTAAACGAAATGTACTTTCATCATTACCAAATTTATTAAATTTTTCAACTGTTATTGATAAGATGATTGAAAATTATGGATCAGATGATTTTAGTCAAACAAAAGTTACACTTGAAAGATTAATTTCTACAGCTGCACATGAAATGACTGATGTTATTAAATCTATATTAGAACATGTAGCTCTATCAGTTCATGAATCTTTAAAAGCAAAAATTACGAATTATTATCGTGATGAAAAAGCCGGAAAAGTTGATGTAAGAAATAAATATAAATCAAAAGTTCATTTTTTGTAAAATAATAAATATTTTAGTGTATGAAAGATGTTAATCGATATATTGATCAAGAAATTCTTCATCAATTATATAAAGGTCTTGAACCTGTTCAATATTCTCGTGTTGCTTGTGCTATACGTATAAAAACATTACAATGTTTACGTATATTATTACCACCACAAGAACCACCAACATTTTATCAACGAGTTATAGAATCATTTGATCATTTAGCTGCATATTTCGAAGCTGTTTGTCGTGAAGATCCACAATTACCTGGTCCACCATGTGATGAAATAACAACATTTCGACGTTCACTTCAAACAGGTGCATTAACAACTGAGCAATTACAATTAGCGTATTTTAAAGAAATATGTCAAGTACATTCTCCTGTAGATATTCTTTTTTTTTCTAATGTTCAAAAAATCAATTCAATGAATTCGATTTATTTTTTCTAGTATGAATATCCAACAAATAATGGTGAAATTGTTTTTCGTACTGCACATGAAATAGTCAATGGTCTAGTTACCATTCATTGCTTTAGTATGTCAATTTTCAAAACAAAAAAAACACATTGAAATATATTTGATTTTCATATAGTTCTTTCTTGTCGAAATTTACCGAGAATGGATCTTATTGGTACATCAGATCCTTATGTTATTCTTGAATTATTACCATACTCATTGTATCATAAACCTCAAAAAGAATACAAAACAAGTACACAAAAACGAACACTTGAGCCTGAGTTTAACGAATTATTTCAATGGTAAGTATATTAATACTATAAAGTTTTGTTTTGATTATTTTTCTTCTCAAGGCATCGTCTTCCATTAAATGTTTTGAAAGAACGTGGTGCTGTTTTACGTATAAGTGTTTGGGATGAAGATTATGTCAATGATGATTTTATTGGTGAATGTTTTGTACCATTAGTTAATATTGAACCATTAAAAAATCTTGCTTCATTACGTGATGTTCCTGTATCAGAAGTACGATTAAGGCGGCCACTTAAAAATATGCAACCACGAACATTTGATGTAAGATTTTCTATTTATTGAATTAAAATAAATCTTTTTTGTATAGTTAATTCGAAATCGTGCAGCATTTGATGAACAAGCTGCTGTTTTTCTTAAACAGCGTACGGCTGTTATGCAATCAGGTAATGGAAGTGATGTTGCATCTGCTATAAGTGATGATAGAAAATCATCAGCTTCATATACTAGCGCAGCACTTCGTTCACTACTTTGCATGTTTCCATTTCATATTGGTTTTGGTACTAATACAACTCCTACTCATGAACGATCAGATGCTGCTGATGATGAGGAACTAATTTAACTTATTCATTTATTTTAGTTTTTCTTTTGATGCTTATTTTTTTAAAACAAATTGCATGTTTATCAACAAAAGTCAATATAAATTATATGTCAGATAAAATAAATATATATGATTTCTTCAGATTCTAATCGTCGTCATCATGCAAATCAGATGTATAAATCAGATGCATCATTAAATACTTCAATATATTCGGATAGTAATTATAATAGTTTAAACTATCGATTTTGGAATATACTCAACTGGAAAGGAACTGGTACTGATGAAAATTCAGTGGATAATGGGGATGAATTTGGTTCGACTCAATCATAAGAATTTCTTTGTATTGTTATTAACATGTAAATTTCATGTAAAATATACAGTAGTTTTTGGTCTACAAATGATAAAACTAAAACCAAATCAAAACAAAAAAGTAGTTCAATTTATGTTTTTGATCTAGAATCTTTGATGCGATATATGAGTGTGTTTTGGACAGTTTACATTAAAATATTATGACATGTTTATGACGGAGTAGATTAAAATGTACTCGGTAGTTTAATCAAGTAATTTCGTCGTTGAAAACTGTGACATACTTATTCGAACTATTAAAAATAAAAAATAATATGTATACATGCTAAATTGTTGTTTTCTGTTAGTAATTATTGTTAAATTTCAACGAAGTATTACTTTAATATTTGATAAAATTCTGAAAATAGTTATTCGTATTTTTTCTTATGATGTCATCATTTACTTTAATAGTTCTTCGTTATAAAACACTGATCTACTTCCTTGTTGACATTATGTCAATCAAAAAAATATAAAATCGAATGCGACACATTATAATATTTATCAGCTGTATGCAATTAAATATAAAAAATTACAAAACAAAATGCTTTGATATTACACAATAACTTGATTCATATGAATACCTATAGCTGTGCTATTTACAATCACTCATGAAATAGAAAAGAACTTCATTGAATAGAGCATGCTGTGTATTCAAATCAATTATATATATTCATAAATACTGTTAAACCAAATAAACATTTTCTTTTATGAAAAGATCAATGAATATAATATTTTATTATCAAAACAAAAGTCTTTCACAGTATTAGTTGGTTTAACATGCAGTCATATAGAGTATATGTTATTTCTGTACAACGAACTATTAGTTCGATCGTACAGAAAATCGTTATTTTATTTGCTTTAAATGTACTTTAAACAGGCCATGTGTTTGATAATACTTCATCAAAATGCGTTATATTTTTACGAAATTGTAGAGGATGAAGTAACAGCATGAGATTAGAAAAGAAATTTTTTGTTTTCATAAGACAGAGTATAGGTAAATATTTTTGCTTATGCCAGAAGCAGGTTTTGTTGTGTTATTTCTATAGAAAAGCAAAGAATTATTTTTTCATTGGCTTCTTCGTAAAATTATGGTGAATTTTGTCAGAAACATTACCTAGTCGATGTATAAATACTCTCATTCATCAGCAGAACACAGTCACTATCGATTACGACAAAAAATCTATCGTTATAACAGTAATCATGAATAAAACTATATTTTTAGTAAGTAATACAAAATCAAAGAAATATTAAAATTTGAAAATTTATTTTAGTTATGTCTTATGGTAAGCATTGGTTCTGCATCGATTATTCAAAGTGCGTTGGCATCATTAAAAACAGATGCTATTACAAAAATTTGTACCGTTGCTCCAATGCCAATTTTTAAACCGGCGACACTTGATGTGCTGAATAGATTGGCAACTGTATTTGCTAAAGGTATTGATGGTAAAACATTTCCAAATTCAGCTGCCTATCTTTCAAGTGCGGCAAGCAATTTTGTGGCTGGTACAACACAATGTCAAAATGCTTTTACAGTCTTACAGACCGCCTTTGCAGCTGATTGTAAAGCAAATTCAATAACAGTTACCGATGCCAAACAAGATCTTATAAATTTTATCGCAAAAAACGTGCCAGGATTTTCAAATCTTACCATTTAAATTCCGCTCATCGAATATATAAGAGACTATAATTACTTATTTTTTCATGTAGTTAGCTTTTGTCTCTCTAAATTATGATTGTCAAAATATTTTCTTCTAAAATAAAATTCATCCAAGCCATTGAATACAACCCAATAAACATATTTTTATTATCATCTAATAAAGCATGTGTATAATAAATTAAAAGAATTCAATAATATATTCTTATGCAGTTATTTACCAAGTTTGATGAAATAAAGATATGTATTAATAATTTAGTGTATTGATTTTATCATATAAGATATTTAGCAATGAAATTAGAAATCTTTTTACAATTATTTAGGTAACATTTTATTTGACTTTCTTTTAGATTAATGGGATAAATTTTCTTCGATTTCAATTAAATATATTGAAATAAATAATAATTGTATTGATGAAAGAATGATATAGAAAAGGTTTCTATTATTACGCATTTATTATCAAAATAGATTGACGTCGAATAATTTTACAATGAATTTGCCCAAACTATAAATTACTTCTAGTTAAGAATTTAACATTCATGATCATTGTTTTAAACCAATTTAAAATTAAAATGAATAAACATATGAAATTCTCCTATTTGCGATAACAAACAGGCTACAAATCATTGTCTAATCACTTATAGATGAAGATAGTAATACGTAGAGCATACAGTATAAATATTGTGCAATCACATGGAAAAAATAGATTATATTAATATAAAATGAAAAAAACAAATATAGGCAAAACCCTTAATAACGTTACATAAAATATTGCTTTTATTTATAAAATATGTAATCACTCAAGTATAAAATGCATCATCCTTTTTGCGATTAATATTTCATTCTTTGTCTCGTTCTTTGCTGTTTAATGTTTGTCGATGTATTGATATAGATAAATGATCAATATGATTCGATACGATGAGTTACATCAGCTATACATAGACAATGTTTTTTTTATCCACCAAACACTTACGTCAATCGATAAACTTGAATATATTGTGTATTTATTCCCTTCATTTTCTTCTCTGTTTTAATGTTTATTCTTTGATTATTAATTTAGTAGTCATTTTCATGAAGTATCTATTCTAAAGTTACTATCATTCATTAGAAATATTTCCAGATATGTCTATTCTATTCTGAATTATTAACTGTAATAGTATAACTATACATAACCTTGTAGCGTTTAAATATCATTGATTTTGTTTTATTGTATAGAAATTTTATTAGAATAGTTAAGAATAAAAACAGGGTTGATATCATCTTCTATTTTCTTTACTACTCATTCATCAGATTTTTCCTAAATACACATGTTATTTCGTATGAGAATATAAGTAAATGTTCATGAAGAGCAAACTATTCTTGAATATCTACATATTTCGATATGTAATGATTAAATAAATATGATCTATAAAGTTAATATACGATTTGTATCTATGAAAATATATGACGAATATATTTACATGTGAACGCAAATATAACACTTATGCATAATACATGCTTACACACATTTGGGTTTTTGATATTTAGGTGGAAAAACCAAAATTGATATAATTTACACTTATATAAGACAAAAATCATTCATTGTCAAGGTTACGATATAAATATTCGATAATCTTTCTTCGCTAATATATGATTCATAATCCGATGTGTATGTTTTTCTTTCTTCAATGTGTGTAATTAAGCGTGACTATACATCAATATAAAGAAAAAGAAAAATGCAATATACCTCCTTTGTATTATACTCATACAACTATATTTGTTGAATAAATAAGATAGATTAATGAACATAAAATTATTTTTGATTTAAATAATTTTGTTTTAAAATATATCGCAAAAAATCTAAATTAACTGATTATTGTAGTATTCATTTGTCGGCGTTTATCTCAAGTTGTAAGTATATAGAGATATCGTAAATATGTCTCGATTTATTGGCGAACAAGTACGACGTGTTAAACAGGTATTATTTTAATAGATACTTGAAGACTTATATAAGCCAAAATATATGGATAATATTTTAGACGATTGAAAAATTACATATTCAACCGTCGGATGATAGTCCGTAAGTGATTATTCTATTTATTTATTTATATATATAAATCTACTATTATATTTTTAATTAAAGTGAGAATACATTAACTCGAGATTATGGTTTTCTCAAATTCAATGAACAAGAAATAGATTCGACTACACGTCTTTCACAATATATTCGTTTAGCTCTTAACACAGATCCCGGAACAGTCATTCAATTTATGAAAAAAGCATGGAATTTACGTACACCTGATTTAATTATTTCAATAACTGGTGGTGCTAAACATTGTGAACTTGCAGCACGACTTAAAAAAAATTTTCAAATTGGTTTAGTTTCTGCTGCTGCAACTACAAGTAAATCTTAGTGTATATTCTATTTTTCACAAAAATAATCATATTATAAATTCTTTTATAGATGCATGGATAATTACTGCTGGAACAAATGCCGGTGTTGTTCAAGAAGTTGGTGAAGCACTTAATAATTATCGTTATAAAAATCAAAAAGATGGTGTTGATATACCTTGTATTGGCATTGGTAGTTGGGGTTATACAGCAAGAAATGAACTACTTGATCATGCTTCAGGTTTAATGGATGGAAATAATAAAACTGATATAGATGAACCATATAGTCCATCAAAAAAAGTTCATTTCAATTTTGGTATTGATGCTCTTCAAATGGTTGGAGAATCAGTATACGCAATAAAAACATATATAGTTCCGCAAAAACAAGAAAAAAGATGTGAATTAGAACCAAATCATACACATTTTTTATTATTTGATGATGGTCTAGTTAAACCTGAAAATGTTCTTCCATTACGAGCTGATATAGAAGGGAATTTAAGACGTTTAAATATTGAACAAACAATAGAAGGTGCTGTACATACACTTATACCTATTGTTATGGTTTTAGTAGAAGGTGGTCGATCATCAATTAAAACTGTATGTGAAGCACTTGATGCAAATACTCCAGTTGTCGTTGTTAAAGTAAGAACAATAAAACCAAATAAAAAACAAGAAATATTCAGTTTTAATAATATTTAAGGGATCTGGTCGTGCTGCTGATCTTGTAGCTGAGTTACACATATGTTATTCTAAAATTTTTAACGATTCTAACGTGGATAATGATAATGATAATGATCATAAATCTACACATCAAACAGGTTTTGTAGCAGCTAGTTTACGTTTAACTGAAATTAATTCTATGTAAGTTTATTTGAGAATAAAAAAAGACTAAAATATAATTAACAACTTAGATTTGCAAAAGCAAAATTACATAATACATGGATCGATACTATTAGAGATGATCTATGTCGTATGTTAAGTGAACGTTCACAACTTGTAACAATATTTGATTTTGATAATGAAACTCAACATGGTAAACTTGAAGATGCTATACTTGAAGCTGTATTTAATGGTTTGTTATTTAAGAAAATTATTTATACTAAAATAATAATTAATAATTTTCTAGCTGCAAAATATTATCATCAAACTAATGATCAACATCGATCAGCAGCTGAATTAAAATTAGCTTCAGTAAATATTGTTCTATGTATATATAATTATTAATTTTAATAAATATTCTTAGGCTTGGCACAATGTTGAATATGCACGTCGAGCTATATTTACCGATTTAAATATATCAAAATGGAGTGTAAATATATTATTTTAATATTAATTAACAAAAATTTTAATTTTTCTTTTTTTGAAGAATGAAGATCTCCGTCAAGGTTTAGTCGATGCACTTTCTCGTGGTTATATTGATTTTATTGAACTTTTCATTGAATATGGTATAACACTTGAAAAATTAACTATCAAAGATCTTGATTATTTATATTCAACTGCATATGTATGTTTATTATAAAAAAAAACTAATATAATTTATATTTTTATAGATCGATAAAGTCTTACCATTGAAAAAGATCAAATATACTGTACCAACACGAGATGATTTTTATGCAGTCTATATGAGAAATTATATTGAAGTAAATTTTATTTAATTATTGATTAATAAAAAAAATAAAATATATTTATTAGGTGTACAATGATAAGAATGTACCATTGGGTGATCATGCATTACGTGATTTATTTTTTTGGGCTATATTTCTTGATCGATTTGATTTAGCATTATATCTTTGTTCAAAAACATGGGTAAAATTTATTTATAATTAAATCTTCCGTAAATCATATATTTTGTTTTTAGAATCAATCAGTTGCACCATTATTTGGTGCACGTATCTATGCAAAAGCAGCTGCTATGACACTTGATTCTGAAACTAAACAATCATATAAACATAATGCTGAGTAATGATACGATTAATTATTGAATAAGATTATAATATATTTATATTTACTTTTGTGTATAGAAAACTTGATAAATATGCTGCATCACTTGTTGATCGATGTTTTGAATGTGATAGAGATTTTGCTGTTAACATTTTAAAACGACCTGCTATAGCATTTTTTAATGTACTTCCACTTAAATTAGCATTAAAAGCAAATTGTCGAGCATTTCTTGCTTCAAAATGTGTTCAACGATATCTTGATAATGAATGGTATAGTATTTTAATTACATTTACATATTATATAGATTCATTTTTTTATAGGTTTGGAAATATTAATTACAAACGACAAAATATTAATTTTCGAGTAATTAGTTTCATATTGAACAGATCGATATGTATATGATTATAATTTAGATCTTTCTATGTTCCGTATTCTTTCCATTGATACCATTCTTTTGTCATACATTACCTTACATACATCGACATCAACCGGTTAGTATTATCTCATATATATATATGATGAAGAACTCATATTCAAATTGAGAATTACTGATTATGGATAGTGATACGTGTAATATTCATGTGATTGAGATCTTTAAAAATTTTTTAGAAAATAAATCACGTAATTTTTTGAAGGCTTACTTTGATGAGTATCTTACAAGATTCTCTCACTATTTTTAACTGTTGAAGAATATTTTTTTAGTACAATCCAAATGCTGTTGTTCGTTCTAGAAATCCAAATTCATCTACACATCCTAGGACGTAAGTACTAACAGTTAAATTGTATTTCTTCTATCAAAATTCTTTTTTTTATTAAGTGCAAGTAATGTTCGATGGACTGAAAAAATAGTTTATTTTTATAAAGCACCCATTGTAAGATTCTATTATAATCTTGTATGTATATTGAATCAATTTAGAATATAACTTCGTAATTTTTGATTTATATTTTTTAGATATTTTTCTTCGTTTTTCTTGGTTTATTCAGTTTTGTTCTTCTTGTTGATTATTTTCCTTTGAATGTATATAATGGAACTCGCTCAGGCATTCGAGGCTTACCTTTACCAATTACTGAAATTTGTCTTCATATTTGTATATGGGGAATAATTATTGAAGAACTTCGACAAGTATGTCTGGCTATTGATATTTGTATTTAAAAGAATAATTTTATTTAATAGTTTTTTCTTATGCATTCATATGATGAATATTTGGATGAAATATCTAATATAATTGATATGACTGCAATTATACTTTATATAATTGGTTTTATAACAAGATTTGTAGTTATTGAAGGATTTTTTACATTTTCAAAGTAAATTTAATATATTAGAATTAAAAATGAAATAATCCGATTTTGTTTCTATGATATAGAATTATTTTTGGTCTTGATCTTATTCTTTGGTATATAAGAATTCTTCATTTATTTGCTGCTTATGAACGATTGGGTCCCAAGTTAATTATGATATTTAATACAGTTAGTTTCTTATTTCTTTTATTTATCTTATACTAATTGATTTTAATTCTTCTAGATGAAAGATTTACTTTTTTTTGTATGTTTTATTCTTATATTTCTTTTTGGTTTTTCTATAACATCATGGTCATTAATAATAACATCATCTCAAGTTCAATGGATTTATGATAAGCGTGGAGATCTATTAAACGTAACCGTATCAGAGAATGGTACACATGGATGGAATTGGAAGCTATTACGAGATGTAACAAATTATGGTGTTTGGAAAGTTTTTGGACAAGTTGATGCAATAGGTATACAATATTTTCTATTTACTCTTTTTTTAGAATTATAATTTATGTAATGGACAGATATATATATATATGGAACTAGTGTAATATTAGATAGAAAAAGAATCTGTAAAACGGAATTAGAAATATGAATATATTCTTTTCTTTTTAATTGATGAGACTTATTGACAAAGAAATTACATATGATAGGTGTTTCCTATTTAGATCACTTATTTTTTTATTTTCTTTTTCTTTATAGAAAGCGACAATTCATATTCTGCAGTCGCATTTATTTTGGCTATTCTGTTTGTTGCAATATCGAATGTACTTCTTCTCAATGTTCTTGTCGCTTTATTCAAGTAGAAATAGATTATTTTCTTTTCTCTTATTTTCTTTTATATTAATTCTTCTAGTGTAACTATTGAAAATGTTCAAGAACAATCACATGATATTTGGCGTTATCAACGTTTTCTATTAGTTAATGAATTTCGACAAAAAAGTTTATTACCACCACCATTTAATACATTCTATTGTCTTATTAATGCTATTGTGCGTTTTATTGCACATCGACAAAAACGATATCGAAATCATAGACTTAGTAATTTATTATTCGTTTCGTAATTTTAAAATATTTCTTTTTATTCTATTTAATTAGTACCGGATGAAAAATTAACAGTCGATATTATTGAAACAGGCGATGGTTTAACGGTGCCACGCCTTAAAAGTAATAGAAAAACTTTTTTTTCAAAAAGAAAATATCTTTTTTTTTCTTCTTCTTGTCTTTTTTAAGTTACTGATTCAATGAAACGTGAAAATGCAATAGTAGAAGATTTTTGGCGAGATTTATTAAAACAAATGGAAGAAAAAAAATCAAATTAAAATATGATATCTTGTGATTTTTATTATCTAGTGTATATATAATTATTTTGAAATAAAATATAATAAAAAACAAGAAACCTTAACTATTCGAATTTTGTTTTTTTATATTCTCTATAAATATATATGTATGTTCTCATTCAAAGATATTTTACTTAAAATTGATATATAAGAAAATAAGCACAAATGCTGTTCATTTTATTGCGGCTAAATTTGAGACAGATGGTATGAGTTAAAAACTCGTATAGATAACACAAGTATGGTAGTCTCTGACGACTTCATGAACGCATATACTTATTATGACAAGATAAATGTACTATTTTCAAAAAACATGTTAAATTTGACACTGATATTTTATTTATTTATTACAGTTAACGTCATCTTTTCTGATTCATAAATACTCGAGATTATCCATTGCTGATTCAGATTTCTATCGAAATGACTTCAAAATCATAGACAATAGAGTTGAAACAAAGCTTGAGATTTAGTGATATATTTTACTATCATACTGACATACATTGCAGATAAAACATGTTGTTGTTTAGATTCTACTGTAAAAACATACATGAAATCAAGATGAATTTTTGACCCACATAATCATGTCAACTTATAATTATTTTATTAATTAACATTTCTTTAATGATATTAATGTATTGTATTGAAAGAAAAACTTGTTCAAGGTTGTTTTTTGTTTTTGTATTAGCGAAAATATTGCGTAAGAATTAATTCCATGAGCGATAAAAACATAATTGAAAGGTATGTCATTGTCGATCGACGTGGTTACCATAACATCTTGATTATATTTACTCCTTCTCATGGAAAAAAGTGACGCAGATAAAAAGGTCACATGGGTAAATAACTTCATTTTTTCTCTTTTATTTTTATCTGAAGAAAAGAAAAAACTCTCTACTTCTGAGAGTTGAAACGATGGCAAGGCAACAACATGTATGTGTATCACTCGATTGTATGTTTTCTTTTACATTTTTACTTTAAAAGTAAAGCAGATTTTTTTTTTATACACTTTAGTATTTACGAGAAAAATAACATGTACGAACTAATGACAAATTAAAACATGGCGACGGAAATTGCACAACGGATGCGATATGTGAAGCAGGTATTAAAAATAAATAGTGTTCATTATCTACTAGTTCACTCAGTCTTAGACTAACGAAGTAACTGTACTACTAAAATCTCATTTATACATTCATTCTGTTTATAAATACATGTATCACTAATCTATGAAAGTTTACTGAATAATGACATACATATTTTTCATTTAGGCAGTTGATGCTTTACCAATTCGTTCATATAATCCGTAAGTTCAGTAAGAAAATTAATAAATAAATGACTAGCTATTTTATTTTACTAGTCCCGATGTAGCAACTCAACAATATGGTTTTATGAAATTTGATGAAAATGAACTTGATTCTAATACACGTCTTTCACAATATATACGATTAAATCTCGATACAAATGCTGAAACAGTTGTTAAGTTTATGCAACAGGGTTGGCGTTTACCAACACCTGATTTGATTATTTCAATAACTGGTGGTGCTAAACATTGTGATATGTCAGCACGTCTTCGAAAAATTTTTCAACGTGGTTTAGTTGCTGCTGCTGTTACAACAAGTAAATTAATTGAAATTAATTGTAAATAATTAAGAAATATTTTGTTATTTTATAGATGCATGGTTAATTACAGCTGGAACAAATACAGGTGTTGTTAAAGAAGTTGGTGAAGCACTTAATAATTATCGTTATAAAAATCGAAAACATGGACTTGATGTACCTTGTATAGGTATTGGTAGTTGGGGTTATACAGCAGGAAATGAACAACTTGATGATCAACCTAATTCAAATTCTATGAATATGAATAGTATTAAATCAACACGTTCGTTTACGAGACAGACTCAAAATCAAACTTTACATGCTGTTCGTATGGTTGGTTGAATAAATTGTTTGTAAAATAGAGAAATACTTGTTTTATAATATTAATTTTAGGATATAGCTGATGAATATTGTGTTAAAAATTATGTTGTAAAAGAGAAAAAAAAGAAACAATGTGATTTAGAACCAAATCATACACATTTTTTATTATTTGATGATGGCCAAATAAGTGCTGATACTGTTCTTCCATTACGAGCAGAAATTGAAAAGTATTCTCGAAAAATTAATACAGATACTAAAACAGAGAAAACAGAAGAAGCAGCAGCAGCAGAAACACTTCTACCAATAGTTATGGTTTTAGTTGAAGGTGGTCCATCATCAATTAAAACAATTTGTCAAGCATTAGAATCAAACACTCCAGTTGTAGTTATCAAAGTAAAGAAGAAGAAGAAGAAGCAATATAATTTCAAAATATGTAGATTTTTGTATTCTAAAGGATTCAGGTCGTGCTGCTGATCTTGTTGCTGACTTACATGCTTGCTATTATGATGCTGAAAATACTACTGGTGGATTTCCCGCACGACCAAAAACAGGTCATGTTAAAGGAGAATCTCGAGAATCAGAAATCAATGCAATGTAAATTTTATTATTTTATAAATAAATTGAAAATTTCATTGTTTCTATCTTATAATCAATTTAGTTTGACAAAAGCTCAAGCTGAAAATGATTGGGTTAAAGATATTAAAAGTGAATTATGTAAAGCATTAGATAATCACAAACAATTCGTAACTATCTTCAGATTTGATAGTAAACGACATAATGGTAATCTTGAAGATGCTATTCTTGAAGCTTTATTCAATGGTAAAGAATTATTATTGACATTAATTTCTAAAGAAATTCTTCTATTTCCTAGCTGCAAAATTTTCCGGTGATGATAATGACAAACATCGACGTATAGCGGAACTTAAATTAGCTATGGTATTTATGAAAAAAAGAAAAAAAGAAACAGAATACTTCATTTAATATATATTTAGGCGTGGCATAAATTTGATTATGCTCAAAAACATCTTCTTACTGATAAGACTATATCAAAATGGAAAGTATGTTTTATTTTTCTTCATATTTTTAATTTCTATTGAAATAAAGGAAGATGATCTTCGACGCGCTATTGTTGATGCACTTCGTCGTGGACATGTTGATTTCGTTGAATTACTTATTGAATTTGGTACACCACTCGAAAAACTAACAGCTGGAGATCTTGAGTATCTATATAGCAGACAAATTGTAAGTTTTATTTTACTTTAGAATAAAATAAAAAAGATTATTTTAGACTGGTGATCAATTACCACTTAAATACAAAGGAAAATCAACTACATCGATAAAAGATAAATTTTATTTTGATTATTTTCGAAATATAGTAATCAAAAAATTTTCATTTATTTTTCTTAAATATAATAACGAATGTTTTTACAGGGTCATGTGAATATGAATAACAATATAACATCACTAGACGAGACCCGACCATTGGGTGAAGATGCACCACGTGATTTATTTTTATGGGCAGTTTTTCTTAATCGATTTGAACTTGCTACTTATCTTTGTTCAAAAACTTGGGTAAAATTAAATGTCATTCAATTGAGTTAAACGTCCTTATATTTTTTATGTACAGAATTCAGTAGTAGCTCCATTATTTGGTGCACAAATATATCGACGAGCAGCACGATTAACACTTGATTCTGACACAAAACAAGAATATGAAGATAATGCAACGTAATTTGAAAGATGTTAAATAAAATTTGAATTTTTATTTCTATTATAGTCAATTTGATATTCATGCAACATCAATTATTGATCGATGTTTTGAGAATGATGAAAATTTTGCTGTTGATCTATTAAAACGTCCTACTGCTTCATTCTATGATGCTGATCCATTACCATTAGCATTAAAAAGTAATTGTAGATCATTTTTGGCATCAAAATGTGTTCAAAGATATCTTGATAATGAATGGTAAGCATTTATTTTATTGTAATAATATCAACAAATAATTAATTCTAGGTTTGGGTATATTAATTACAAACGAAAAGCTATTAATTTTCGAGTAAAAATAATAATAATATATAAATATTTAAATAATATGTAATTCTTTTAGATATTTCTGTGTACATTATTTTTTCCTTTACTTCCAATATTTTGTTTTTTTCTCCCGTACGTAAAAAAACATAAAAAGGTTAGGGAAAATCTGTAAATTAAATAAATATTTATATATATATTACAGATGGCTCGAAGCGCTCGAGATCATTCAAAAGTTAGTCAACCAACTATGATTCATAATGTTATTGAGTAAGAAAATTAATAATTATCATAAATTATAATCATATATTTCTATTCTATAAGACCTGAAAAACGTAAAAGAGTAACATGTTCTCCAAAATTAGAAAAATTATCATATTTTTATCATGCACCTATAGTACGATTTTATTATTATATGGTAAAAATTAATCATATATTATATATCTACAATCTATTTAATTCTTTTGTATTAGATATTTTTTGTTTCATTTCTTGGTCTATTCAGTTATGTTCTTCTTGTTGATTATTTTCCATTTAATATATATAATGAACGTCGTTCTGGTATTCAAAATCTACATATACCAATAACAGAAATCATTCTTCATGTTTGTGTATGGTGTTTAATTATAGAAGAAATTCGTCAAGTAATAATATTGATGATATGTTCGATTGATTCTAAAAATAACTTATTTTATTTCTAGTTTTTATTTATGGAATCTAAGAGAGAATATATATCAGAAGTATGGAATTGGATTGATATACTGGCAATATGTTTATATCTTGTGGGTTTTATTACACGATTTTTTGTTGTTGAGTCAGTATTTGCAGTATCCAAGTAAGTTTATTAGAAAGAAAATTCATGCTAGAAAACATTAGTTTTTAGAATATTTTTATGTCTTGATTTAATACTTTGGTATATACGTACATTACATTTATTTGCTGCTTATGAAAAACTTGGACCGAAATTAATTATGATTTTTAATACAGTAAATATATGAATAAATTGTTTTTATTCATTAATCTTTGTTAATTTATAGATGCGAGATTTGCTGTTTTTTATTTGCTTTATTTTTATATTTTTACTTGGATTTTCAATAGCATCATGGTCATTACTTGCTACAGATAATCAAGTTACTTGGTCATATAATAGCGATGGATCATTATTTAATGTAACATCAGCAGGTGATGCAAGTGGTCTCTGGTCATGGGAATTATTACGCGATGTTACAAATTATGGTGTTTGGAAAGTTTTTTGGGCAAGTTGATCCAATAGGTTAAGATAATTTCATTGAAATTGTTCATTATTAGAAAATTTCTTTTCTTTTAGATGGTACCGATGCCTATTCTGCAGTAGCTTTTGTTTTAGCTATTTTATTTGTTGCTATTGCCAATGTACTTCTTCTGAATGTACTGGTTGCCTTATTTAAGTATGAGAAGATATGTTATAATAAAATGTGAATTCATTTGATTTTTCTATTCAAGTGTAACAATTCAAAATGTAGAAAATCAATCTCATCAAATATGGCGATATCAACGTTTTTTACTTGTTTTTGAATATAGTGATAAACCACCACTCCCACCACCGTTCAATCCTATATATTATCTATTCAGTTTTGTTCGATATTTAATTAGAAAATTGAAATCTCTACGTCAGCGACGACGAAATGGTAATTCATTTAATAGATTCATAAAGTAATTCTTTGTTTTCCTATTGTTTAGTCACTTGTGAGCCTACACCAATGGAACTAACTACCATAAATGGAGATCGTATTCATAAAGCATTTAAAAGTAAAGATAATTATTGGATAAATTCGATTTCTATTCTTTCGTATTAATTATTAGTCACTGATGCCATGCAACGAGAAAGTGCAATAGCTGATGACTATTGGAGATATGCCTTAAAAAATGGAAGAAAAGATCAAGTTGAAGTTGCATTACAAAATATTGAACGAAAGTAAAAACCTTTTTATTTAGTTGATTTTATTGAAATTTAATCGATGTTTTATTTGTTAGACTTCATGATTTGAAAGAACGCATACAAAACAATACTACTAATCAGTTATTAGTAAGTTTAATGAAATTTATTTTTATTATTGATTTATTTTATTCTATAGAATAATGATATATAATGATCGACATTAAATACGAATATTTCAGGAGATTTTATTTTTATATCAATTTAAAAAGTTATTTTAATATAATAAATAATTTATGTAAGTCAAGAATAATGAATGAAATTGTTAAAATTTTGCAAGTCTAGCAGTCATTGAAAAACGGTTTAAGTTGGTTTGATGAATGACAGCAGCATTGATAGGTACGACAATTGCATGTTGTTGTGGAAATAAGAAAGTTTTCAATTTTTTAATAAGTTCAGGCATTGACATAAGACAGATCATAGGTAGAATGAGAGGTACAATATAAACAAGAAAATTAAATGTATCCAGTTGTTCAAAAAGAAAATTGGAATCAATATAGATTTCTCCAAGTTGTATAATAGATAATGGAATCCAAACAGCAAGATAAACAAATGAAATAAGTCCTAATTGAAAAGCCATTTTTCTATGACGTTGCCAATTATTATGAACACGACCAACCACCATCATACTTTGATAAACAGCACGTATGAAAAGAATAAGATTAAAAATAAAAATAGTTAATACTGGAAAAATAACATCAAAAAAAAGATCAAATGTTCCCCAATTTGTAAATAAATAACATGGTAAACCACATAAAAGAGCATTATAATCTCTAGTATTTGTACACATAGGACTAATAATAATTGCAAGAAGGTAATATAATGGTCCCCATAATGAACAAATTACTAATGGTATTGTATGAAATATTCTTCGTTTCCAACCATTAAGATTTCGAATAAAATTATGATGAAAAATTAATATATACCGTTCCATAGAGATCCATGCCATAAGAAAACCATTTGTTGTATTTAACGAGAATTCATACCAAGTCCACCAAGTACAATAAGTTGATGTTGCTGGTTGAACAATTCCATTTAAATGAAAAAAACTCATAGGCATAGGAAGATCAGTAATTACTTGTAGAAAATTAATTACAAGTAAAACAAATATAGAACGATTTTGATCATTTAAACGAGTCGTATGATTATAACCGAAATAAATTAAAATTAGAATTGAAACGAGTATTGAAGGAATTTCAAGCGCAATTAATACTACAAATTTAATTGAATATGTTAATGAATAATTTGGAATTGAAATTGTTTCATTTGTCGACATATTTGATCGTACAAAATACTTTTTTTAAATAGAGTTTACTATAAAAAAAGAAAAGTTGCTTACTATAAGAAGTACAGATGACAGATATGTCAATGATTTTTCTTCAAGTATACTTATATATCTTCATCATCATTATTAAGTAATGAACAAGATTATCATATGATATTTTTGACTGTCTGCTTACCCGGAGCACGTACTTTTTCTTTGAGCTGCCTGAAAGATTTCTTATAAACCAGTATGACGTACATAGAATTTTTTTTTTCAGCTCTCATTTAATTACTTAGAATGCATAGTTAAAAGCATATCCATATAACATATGTTCCCTATTAAATTAACGCACGAAAAAATAGGAAATGAATTATTTAGCCATTGTATTTATTATAGATATTAAGAAAATTTGTGCATTTGAAGAAAGTTTTATTAACGTTATAATTAATGTCTGTAATAGTATGTACTTGACGCAGGTGTACAAATAAAACAATACTTTTATTAGAAATATAATTGCAGTAAACGATAGATTTTCAACTCTATCAAATAATTTCAATATTAGCTTAACTATATTCGATTATAAAAGAGAAATAGGATCAGTATAGTAAATCTCTGACAGATTATTTATTAATATTTAATACTTAGAAAACTCTTGTATAATTTGTTCAAGTAATCAATTTATTTATCTGTTACATCATTGAGAAAAAGAGCAACGGAATAAATTTAACTACTATCTTGTATTCGTGATTGATCAAAAAGAAGCAAAAAAAAAAGAAACGAAACGAAAAGAAAACTAACAAAGTTTACAAATAAACATTATGAATATCAAACATATTTGGTGTATAAAACGATGATGCTGAATGTGTACCAGCTGCTGTTGGTGGTGGCGGTGGTGGTGGAAGAACTTGTCCATGCATCATCATATTATTTGGATTTGCAGCTGAATATGGAAATGTTCCCGTTGATCGATAAATTTGCTCATAATCTAAATATGAAAAAAAAGAAAAACGATTTCTAATAATTGTAACGTATAGAATTATTATTAACTACGAACCATTAGTATACCGGGCATAAAGAGATTGTTGTTGTTGTTGCTGTTGCTGTTGTTGCTGCTGTTGCTGTTGCTGCTGCTGTTGTTGTTGTTGTTGTTGGTTACCAAATAAAAGAGTTGTTGTATTTGTACTACTACTACACTCATTTGATGGATGAAAAACTGACGATGATGATGATGTTGATAATTGATTATTCGTTGATGAGGATGTATCAATGGTTGGTAAACAGAAAGGTGTGAAATGTAGACGAGATGATGTTGTTGATTGCCCTGGAATATTAACACTACTTGTTGCTGTAGGTCCTGTGGGAAACATCAATGGACTATTAGCAGATGGTAGATGATGCGTCTGTTGTTGTTGTTGCTGTTGTTGTTGTTGCTGTTGATGTTGATGATGAACAGAGGCAATTTTTCGCCAACGAGCTCGACGATTAGAAAACCATACCTATTAATTTTATTGAATATACGTTTTTTTTTTCAGTCTATTATTAATTCAATAGATTCTCTAAATACCTGAACGCGAGCTTCACTAAGACCAGTTCGTCTTGATAATTCTTCTCTTGCTTGTACATCAGGATAATGTGTTCGTTGAAAAACATGTTCTAATTGTTCAATTTGATCTTGACTAAAACTTGTACGATAACGACGACCTTTTGTTGTATTATTATTATTTGTTTTATCTGTTGTACCACAACGAGCATTACCTATTTAAATATTCTCTTTCATAAATATAACAAAGTTTAAATTAAAAGTTTCAAATTACTTTTATCTTCTTTTGAATCTTCATTTTGTTCGATCATATTTATTGATGATCGTTCATCTGCAAAATTACTTCCATCAACATTACCACCAGCATCACGTAGCATTCGTGTTAATGTACTTAAACTTGGTAATGATGTTGGTTTACAAACACCATCACGTACTAATCTTTCTCGTATTTCCCAAACAAACATTGTACCATGTGGATATGAATTTTTATATTCATCAATTTTTTGTTCGATATCAGCAGTTACAACTCGTGGTTTTGAGCCGCCAATTGAACCTGGCTTAATCGATCCTGTTTCAGCATAACGTGCCAAAATTTTTGAAACACATCCATGTGAAACACGTAACTTTATTAAAAGAAAAAGAATAGATATAAATTGATAATAAAATAAGAAAGATCTCAATACCTGTCGACTTATAACACAAGGTCGAATTCCTTGTGCAGCCATATCAATAATCTTCACACGAAGATGATTGGGTAATGGACGACCATTGATGAAAACGCCACCCAATTGATTTACACGACCTTGGCCTTTTAAAGATTAAATTTATAGTTACAAATAAAGAATCAATTGTCATTCTTAGTTTAGAATTGAAAATCTATGATTTGAGATTAATGATTAATTAAAAGAAAAGACTAGAAAATTTTTAGATACTTTCAAAATAAGAAGAAAATATAATCATCTATGTTTAAGATAATTATAGATTTTTTTTTAAAAGTTATTTTCTAGAAAAGAAACTTTCTGTTAAATATTACCTTCATAACTTAGTGGATGTGAATGATAAATCATTGGCGGAGGTGGATGAGACCATGTTGAAGTTGAATTAGTTATACGATTTGTTGTCGGTGTTGTAGTCGAATTAGAAAGCATAACTTTCAATATAAAATATATACGATGATACGCTAAGGCACGCGGCAACGGATAATTTGTTCGTTTTTTCACGTTTTCCGGCCTCTTTTTCTCTCGCCTAAATCGGCTTCTTCGTCACTAGTATGTATAAAAGATGCGGATCGACGATAGATACTTTTTCTTTCGTTTATAACGATGAGACACGATCAAGAAAAAAAAATTGAAAAATGAAATGTCGTCTTATTCGATAGTTAATAAACTGTATCCAGATCGGCCCTTTTCATATACATAAAGTGCGAAATGTGAGTTTCACGCGTATTAAACATCATCATCAATAAACATAAAGAAAAAGACAATTTACCTAACTAAATGATAGAGAAGTATACACGCATCTTCCTCCTCCTTATTGCTCATTTTCAATTTTTTCCTGTGTCGCCGACGACACTATTCAATAGATGCAATCTTCATATACGTTTGTATATTAGGTTTGTTTTATGTTTCATTCGTTTGACGCGGGTGTTATCATTCGGTCTCACCTTTCTCTCAAATCATTCGAGCATCAACATCATTATTATCTTCGCCGTTGATTGCATAGGACAAGAAAATGAATAAATAAGAAAAAAAAAGACACGATTGGTTTACAATAACCAATCATTGAAGAAACCGAAAAAAAGATATATTTTTTTTCTTTACTTCCGTTATTAACCAATTACATATTGTCTTGTTTTTATTTAATATACACAGTCTAAATCAAAGATTAATTCTAATACTTCAAAATAAAAGACTAAACAATCGCAAAGATAAAAAAAAAAGTCAAAATTATTTCGAATACTTGTCATGTTTTATATTAAATTTACCTGAAATATAAAAAAATTTTGTCTTTTGAAAATATGTCAAATAACAAAATTTCTTTCGTTTCTCAATAATATATACAGGTGTGCACATCTATATTTGTTAATTATACGATGACAATATTATGCATATATTTCGTCTGACTATTATTCATCAAAATTCTCGTTTGCAAGAGCATTTATACTGATCTAATTGTGATTTACTCGGCTTGTTTAATATTTAAATGTACATCAGATTTTACTCGTTTATATATATTTAATAGTATATGACTAAAAAAATAAGCTTCAACGGTTTTTTTTGCATCGCATATTAGTAAACATCCATGAAAAAGTTTGCCACATATTAAATCAAGGATATTTAATCGACACTATTTTATTCTTGTGTTTAAACAAGTATATATAAAGTTATTGATGATTTTTTAAACAAAATAATGAAATAATGCATTATTATCTTTAGAACTTTCTAATAAAAATTCAATCGTTTACATAAGAATAAAGGTTTAAATTAACAATTTAAATTTATCAGTTATTATCATTAATTTATATATACATGTATGGTACATTTCATTTAATTGATTAGATACACGGCAAACGATTTTCCCATAACGGATGATTTATACGTATCATATACGGATAATCATATGAAAAGAAACTCATGGTATAGTTATCAATTAAATAAGATTAGTAGTAGGATGATTGAATGTCAAATAATCTTTCTCATCAATCTCGACGTATTGAGTTTGGTAGACATCTTTCTTATTTTTTGTTTTTATTTTTTCGCTTCAAATAAATACAAAAGAATGTTATCTGATTTTATTGTTGAAGATAATCAAAAGATATCTAATATTTGCTTGCTTTGATATTAATAATACAAATACATTCAATTTTGAATTTAAATTGATTTTTGAATATATCTAAGTGAGTTGTCGACAAATGACAAGTATATTAATTTTCTAATGAGTAAAAACAAACAACTTATGTATTCTTTCGAGTAATAGACTATTTTTAAGTAAACTATTGATCCTATGGTATTCGTTATGTGGAGTCCTGTACAACTGAATATCGATGATTTGTTCGATTAATAAATCATATATATTCAATAGATTATGCAATCGAAATCATTTTATAATGTCAATGGGTTTTTATATTGAAATATTGTTTTGATAATATGGACTAAGTTTACATATAGTGGTTCATATTTTGACTTAACAATTATCTAATCGATTTAAATCGTCATTAGACAATTATTTACGAATTTATAAATGTTTATAGGAAACCATGGCAACATCTAAAAAAATTTTCTTGAATTAGAATATATCTGAGTATTATTCGAGCATACGTCAGGGGGGAGCAAGCGAACTTTTGGTACTCCTACATGTAAAAATAACATTTTTGTTCCGTTCTTCGGAACAGGATTTTTGACATCTCTCGATAACAGAATACTTTATTCTATTTGTGAATGCAGATTAAAATAGAAAAAATGTACTGCTGTCGTACTTCTTGGAGCTTCTCGGTACTTTTACACATCAGAAGTCCGCTTGTTCTTCCTTGAGATACGTGTTAAATCAAATTTTATATATTTAATAAAGAACTGTTTTTCATAGAAAAAGTTACATCTGTATGTTCGTAAAAAAAACTAATCTTCATGACGCATAATATTTAACTTTAGGATTCTGATAATAATATGTCAGACGTCATCAATAAAGATCGTTATTATTTTATGGGAAAAATAAATTATAGAAAACACAACATTGTGAATATATGTGAGAATATAATCATAAAATAAATCATTTGTAATAATTACAAAATATACTTTTGATTAGTTTGTTGACAAAAAAAAATCTAATTAATCGAAATAAATTATTATGTCATTTTATTTTTATGACGAAATGATACCTGTATTCCAAGCATTAATAAGAATGTGTCTATATATACTTTTTTTTTGTTGTTCGGTATATTTCAATACATTCACGCCCCGATATCGAGTCGCACTATTATATATTTTATTCTTATATAGAAAAATTAGATGTTCTAGTTCTTTTTTTCTTTATACGAAATATTCTTGCTATTATAATGGTATAAAGAATGAATGGTAGGTGCAGAACTTTTTTTTGAATACAGGTGGGCGTTTCATTGAATCTCATGTCCATGATTTATGTATACATATTGATTATAAGAGCGACTAGATTTTCTTTGACTCTTTTATCATTATTTTTATTTTTTATGTTAGTATAAGATTATAAAATACTTCAATTATAGTTTTTTTTCTTATCTTGGTTTTTCATGGTGTATGTCTACATGAATACTAGGTAAAAGAATAAAATATATATTATATTTATGTGCAAATCACAACTGTCGTAAGCAAAAAGCATTACGTTCTTTCTTTTTGAAACACGCGTGTTTTAAGCATGTTTTGACGTTATTGACGTTGAGTCATGCGTCTGCTTATATAAAAGAGACGGACAAAAAAAAATGTAACCTATCGTTTTTTTCTCTTTTACTAAATAAATCATACGATTATCACTATGCATTTGTTTCTTGGCTGGCGTGCAATGGAAGATCGAATTGGTTCAATAGCATATACATTTGAACGTGTTTTATGGGGTGATAGTCGTGCTCGACATACATTTTTAATTGCATGTTCTGATGAACATCCACTAACCTTAATTGAAATCGATGTGGGCAATCGTGAAAGAGGTATTAAAAAAGGTATGAAATTAAAAATTGCTGAATTAGAAGAAATACCAAATTCAGTAACAAAACTTGAATTAATTGGTGAAACAACATCACCAACAGCATTACAACAACTTATTCAAAATGCACAAACTTATGTACAAGAACATCCTAATTATCATGTCTTATTGAATAATTGTCGAACATTTGTTGAATCTCTTATTGATGAAATACCTGAATTTCGAAATTCTATACCACGTAAAAAAGGTTCAATACTTGAATATTATCATTCACAAGCAAAACATGAACATCCTGGAGCATTAGTCAAAAGTAAACAATTATTGAAAGATGTTCGTGATGTTCATCGTCATAATAGACAGTATAAGTACACTAGTAAATTAGTATTAAACATAGAATTACCAACACTAGATGTAGATATTAATACTGATATTATTGAAGTACGACTTTAAAGAAGAAACTTATCATATTATTATTGTAACTGGTCAAGCTACTGTCAAAATTCTATTAAATAGGAATATTATTTAATTGAAATTACCTGTGCATATATCGCGGCTTGGAGTGTCTAGTCATATATTGAAACAAAAAAAAGTTATTATAGTATTGTATAATAGAATAATAAATTGATGTGAAAGTACTTTTTTGTATTTTATATCGAAGCAATTTTGTTGTTATAATTTGTAGTAAATTTGAGAGATATTCTATATTGATTTTTTCGAAAATATAATAAAACAAAATGTATGGCAAGCGCTCTATTCAAAGTCATTAATATATATGAAACAAGCATGAGTTGGAATGTATTGTTGTTATATTAGTAGAGCTACTAATCTAAAAACTGCCATAAACTAGCGTTTAATCACATCACAAATATACGTGTTAATATGCTAGAAAAACAAGCTTGAAAATATTATGCTTATCAACTTCCTTTTTCTTATACAATAAACTTTTAATCAGTTAACAGGTGCGGTTTTATAGACATTAAAATATTAATTTTATTTTAGTAAATAGCTGATTATATCTAACGTATGACAAAATAAATTAATATGACATATTGTACAATATTAAAAATGAGTCATTAGTTTTATTGATTCTGACTTGTTTTTTTTCTAAGATTTTAATATTTAACTTCTACAGTCATACAATCATAAAATTAACCGGATTCCGTATACAAAAGTCATTTTATTTTAGAATTTTAGTCAAGAAAATTGCGAGTTATATTTTTACTTCAAATAGATTTTTATATAATTTTTCTATATTATCGATTAATCAGAATATTTAAGAAGCAGGTATTGTTCACAATTATCTACACTGTAATATTTTGGATTTTATGCGTACATAGATAATATTAACATGACTATGTCAAGTACATAAACTCACAGGTGAGTAAGAGGTAAACTAGTATATTTAATAAAAAATTTCTATTATAAAAAATCAAACTTAATACTGTAGATCTATGTTCAATTCCATATGATAATCATATAGTGTCGATTGTTTACTAAACAAAAATTATAGTCGTTATGGACAGTATTCTTATAGGTGATCGAAATACTTGATTAAGTTTATACATCAATGTCCACTTAGAATACTATTTTATTGGTGAGAATTTATATTTAAAATATTATATGAATAAATTCATACATTTCTAAATATTCACGATTGTTTTCGAATCGAGTGAAATTTATATATTATCAAAATACGGATGACACTAATTTATACAAACATATTTTGAAAGACCACTGATGATTCATTGCTTAATTATTTATAAAGAATGCAACATATATCTTGCGTTTTAATGAAGCTTGAAAAAATCACAACTTTTCTTTATATACTATGATGCTTATAAATTCTTAAGATAAACTTGTAACGATCGTGACAGTATTCCATTTGAAATATAATTCGTATATTTTGTTAACGCTATATCATCAAAACCTGATTGTAGCAACAAAGCTTTGATAGACTTCGATAATATAGTTTTGTTTGTTTGATTTTATGATCAAATGACAATGTATAGTTTGAATGAGAATAAATAAAAAAGAAAGTAATTTAACCATTGCTGATTATAGTCGAGAACGCACTATTCATGTCTATTATATATATATATCATTTTATATCAATAGAACAATGTTAACAAAAACTTTGTGTACAGTTATTATGGCACTTCTGTCGTTCTGTAGATGACATCATTCTTTTTCGTTTTTTACTTTCATCAAATAATTACAACATCATGTGAAACCAATGGCAAAATAAACATCTACTCATTTAAAAGAAAGAAAAAAAATCACAACACACCATATAACTCTACACAGTACACATTTCATCAACAGTTTACAATGACAAATACAGCTGTCACTAACTTGCTTATGTTACCGGTGGAACTGGTCTACCGAATTGTGGATCACCAATCGGATCTCACAATCATATGCTCCATGAGAAATGTTTGTCAACGATTCAACGAGATCTTAGACAGTTATCATAGATATCAGGTAAACTTTCTTCTATCATAACGGTCTAATTTTTATCTATTGACTGCAAATAAAATATACATGAATGAACTATCTCTCACTCAAAATAATTTATCAACTATCCCTTTCTTATATTATGACAATACGAAAATACTGTCCTAATAAATCAAAACAATAATTCCTTTTTCTTCTTTCTTTTCAATTTCATTTAAATATTTCACGTTTTAAACTAGGTATGATGTCATACACATTCAATGTTTAGACAAGAATGAAAAAAAGAATAAAACATTGTCATTTTCTATTAACGTGTTTCTCAGCACTTTTTGTTTAGAATACTATTTCAATAATAAAAAAAAGCATTTGAAAGAAATTATCTATCGATAGACTAGTGTCCCTTGTTATAAATAACCTCTTCAATATTTTTATGAGGAATATTTCCAACAAATACTCACTTAAGAATATACGAGGGTATCGGTGACGGTAGATGTAGATGAAGAGAAGTTTGACTCACAATAACATCTATATTCTCATTCAATCACATCACTCACACCAATACTATCACAATAGACAATTTCTTTAAGGAGTACTACTTTTAAAGCTAATATTTTTGTAAAATAATTCCTCCGTAACGGATTTCATTTGAGGCACACTTTCTCATGAACTAAATCTCAAGAATATTTTGACAGCGAAATTTTGTATACGATATTTCTGCATGTATTGGTCTCCTGTTCATTATCAATCTAACATTACGGAATAACTTGTTTGACTTTTCACCTTTTATAACTCAGTGTTCCTTGATAAACACATATAAATCGCCTTTTTACCTCCACTTTTTCATCTAGACACTCACCGCACTTGACCTCTCTGGAAATGGAATCGGTGATGTTGGAGCACAATATTTGGGTGATGCATTAAAGCACAACACAGTAAAACTCATTCTCTATTTATGTATACTATGTCTTTCCCTCAACTTTTTCATCTAGGTACTCACCACACTAGATCTTATGGACAATACAATCGGTGATGTTGGAGCAAAATATTTGGGTGATGGATTGTATTACAACACAGTAATATTCATTCTTTCTTCATCTATACTATTTCTTTACCTCCACTTTCTCATGTAGACACTCACCATACTAAGCCTCGCGATTAATGCGATCGGTAATGTTGGAGCACAACATTTGGGTGATGCATTACAACACAACATAGTAACTATTCTTCTCTCTTCATCTAGATTATGTGTTTAGCTTCACTTTTTCATATAGACACTCACCAAACTAGACCTCTACTTGAATCCAATCGGAGACATTGGAGCACAACATTTGGGTGATGTATTACAGCACAACACAGTGACTCTCCCTCTCTCTTTATCTATGCCATGCCTTTATCTACACTTTTTCATTTAGGCACTCACCACACTAAGTCTCTGTGAGAATGACTTCGGTGATGTTGGAGCGCAGTATTTGGGTAATGGGCTACATTACAACAAAGTAAGTCTCATTCTTTCTTCATCTATGCCATGTCCTCACCTTCACTTTTCATCAAGACACTCACCACACTGGATCTCTCGGAGAATAGCATCGGTGATGTTGGAGCACAGTATTTGGGTTATGGATTAGAGTACAATACAGTAACTCTCCTTCTCTCTTTATGTATACTATGTCTTTATCTCCGCTTTTTCATCTAGACTCTCACGAGTATCAATCTCTGCCTCAATCAAATCGGAGATGTTGGAGCAAAATATTTAGGCGGTGCACTAGAACGCAATTCAGTAACTCGCATTTTCTCTTGATCTATACTATGCCCTTACGTCCACATTTTCAACTAGGTACTCATTACACTAGATCTAGCGGCCAATAAAATCGGTGATGTTGGAGCACTGTATTTTGGCGATGGATTGTATCACAACACAGTAACTCCTATTCTCTCTTTATCTATATTATGCCTTTACCTCCACTTTTTTCATCTAGACACTCACCACACTAGATCTTCGCTGTAATCAAATCGGAGATTTTGGATCACAATCTTTGGATAATGGATTGCGTCACAACACAGCAAGTCTCACTGTTTTTTCATCTATTCCAGGTCTTCAATTTCACTGTTTCATTTAGACACTCACCACACTAGTTCTCTTCAGGAATGAAATCGGAGATCTTGGAGCACAACGTTTGGGTGATTCATTGAAACACAATACAGTAACTGTCCTTCTCTCTTTGCCTATACTATGTCTTTAGTTCCACTTTTTTCATCTAGACACTCACCACACTAGATCTCTCATGGAATAAAATCCGTGATGCTGGTGCACAAGCTTTGGGTGATGGATTGCATCACAACACAGTAAGTGTCATTCTTTCTTCATCTATGCCATGTCTTCACCTTCACTTTTCATCTAGGCACTCACGAGTGTCAATCTCAGGTCTAATCAAATCGGAGATTTTGGAGCAAAATATTTAGGCAGTGCACTAGAACACAATTCAGTAACTCGCATTCTCTCTTTATCTATACCATGCCCTTACGTCCACATTTTCATCTAGGTACTCATTTCACTAGATCTGGCGGTCAATAAAATCGGTGATGTTGGAGCACAGTATTTTGGTGATGGATTGCATCACAACACAGTAATGCCCATTCTTTCTTTCTCTTTACCATGCCTTTACCTCCACTTTTTCATCTAGACACTCACCACACTAAATCTCTCCTTCAATCAAATCGGAGATCTTGGAGCACAATGTTTGGGTGATGCATTGAAGTACAATACAGTAACTGTCCTTCTCTCTTTGCCTATACTATATCTTTAATTCCACTTTTTCATCTAGACACTCACCGCACTAGATCTCTCGTGGACTAACATCCGTGATGTTGGAGCACAATCTTTGGGTGATGCATTAAAGTACAATACAGTAATTCTCCTTCTCTCTTTATCTATAATATGTCGTCATCTCCGCTTTTCTATCTAGACACTCAGCAAACTGAGCTTAGACCGAAATCGGGTCGGAAAGGATGCGATGCATATAATCGATGAATTACTTCGACGGAATGTAGGACAGAGCAACCCGTGAAGGGTAATATTAAATGTATTTAGATGAATAATAAATCGCTGGTGATGATCATGTGAGACTATTTTTGTGTTATAGTTTAGGCAGAAACAGTAAATAAACTAGCTTGTTTTCAAACTTAATATATATTGTGATGATAATGTTTGCTTCGTATTCTTTTATATTTGAAGAAGACGATGAGGATGTTCTTTAAAAACAGAGGTCTTGTAGAACTATTTTGTGTGTGTGCACCTCGTGCAAAACCAAGCTAAGGTGCTCTATAACAATATCAAAACCCTAAAAGATTTTGTCCAATAGGGCATCATCAGAAAAACATTTTGTATAATAGTAGCAGAACTGTAAAAGATTGTTCCAGATGATGAAGAATGATTAGAGGTTTCCTGTGATAATAGTAAAACCCTAAGACGTTATTCCCAATAATGCGGGGCAAAGAACTGTGTCCGATGACATTGAGTTAGAAAAGTTTTCTCCAATAAAATTAAACCGTAAAATGTGTAGTATGAAATTCATACTATGAATTAGTGCTGAATAAAGATAGATTCTGTGTTCAATACTGTTGAACCAAGTATGATTGTTTTAGTTTTGCAAAGGTTCGCAAGACTTTGTAGTTGAATAGCTGAATGATCAAGAATTTCTACCGTTCATATATGTGTTATCTAATAAAACTGATAGAAAACTATTGTGAATGTAATTATACAGTAACATATGTTATACATATGTATCTTTTTTTTTATATAGACACATGAGTTAAATAATACATTATAGAATGGAATAGGTTCCGAGAGGATATGACTATTATTATATCAAATACATGTATGCTGATACGTGATATAGTCAGGACTAGATACATTGATAGTTCTTTTGCAAAAAATAAGTCATATATACTTTCACTGGATGCATGACAGTAGTCTATTGCCAATATCAGTCAGATAAACATAGATTATGATTTATTAGATAACCGAAATGTTTATGTTATTAAAACAAATAATAATGGATAGATTTATACCATGTTCTGAAAAATCTTCGAAGAAAAACCATTGAAGAGTAAATATTATAGTTTGCCTCTATTTATTACAATGTACTCTCAAGGAGAAGCACACTATTATACACTATGAATTATAGATAAACTTTACACTAAAAGAAAATCGACTTATAAAAATCTCAAATGTTTACAAATTATTTTCATTCATTATTAGGCAATTTATAGAAAATACTTGATTGTTTATCAAAAGAGAGTTTTAATTCGATTTTCATCAGAATTACTTTCGAGCTATTGATAAATTAACAATATTTTTTCAAAGATGTTTAAAACGTATTGTGTTTCATAGAAAATGAATGTAGTTACAATACAACGAGTAAAATGATCTAAACAATAATAATATCGACGTTTATAATTCATTTTCTCGAATACAGCTGCATCGAGTATGTAGAGCATACAACTATGATCGTTTTTATTATTTATAGCAGACAGCAATATTTGTAATAAAACAATTATTTGATGCAAATTTAACTAATAAACGCAGTTCTGTTCATCTGAACAGATTTTAGAAATTTATTAATTAATCGAAATTGTGCTTTTACAACACTTCCTGTAAACTAACTAAACGTCATATTGAAAATCAGAAAACGAATAATATCAGCTCAATCTTAATATATTGATCTCTTGTTTAAACGAGTATTTCGGGATGTTCCGCTGCCGAGATCATCACGACACAAAACTAATGCGTACGTCAAAAAAGCAGAAAAGTCTCGCGAAGGGCTTCAGAAATGCTTTGCTTTGCATCGCAATAATGAATGTATGTATGAGGAGTTAACTAACTTTTATTAAGAGGATTACCGAATTATTTATTATTAGAGTGATAAACGACTTATTCTATGATGAAAAATGAGTCCTATCTGACAATAATCACATTGATATAAAGAACCATACTTAAACAATACTTCATCTGTTGATCATTAATTCATTTAATTAGTCATGTTACATATGAGTAACAACAGATCTATATACATATATTTATAGAATATAAGAATATTTCTAGGATTTTTTTTCAGAGAAAAAATCTTATTTATCTATATGCAATTGATATGCATATGTGTTCGTTCTATGAGAAAATATAAATAAAGTGCATGTATATTAACATACGATACTCTACTAATTTTCCATTTGTAAATTTTAGTTTTGTATAAAATAAGCCAGACATGATGATGCATCTGATTAGACATTCAGGCAATAAAATCTCTATTAACATAGAATATTCTTCCAAACATATTAATAGAATAGAAGAATTAGGTAGTTCTCTAATAATTCCAATAAAATTAATGCAAGAAACATAGAAAATGACAACTATAATCAAATGATATATCTATCAATAAAATTACTCATATATTCATAAATTGACTTCCTATTCTATATTTTCGAATGTATAGAAAAAAGGAAAAATTCGAAGATTTAACCTATAGTAATTTGTATAACTTATATTTATCAATAAACAAAAATCTAAAGGACTTTCTGTATCTGTTCTATGTCACTTTCGTATTTACATCAATTAATAATGACACATGATATCTATTTCATTTATATAAAGCTTTCATATGAATTTATAAATAATAAACTAAAACAAAATATAATTTTCCACATTGAATAAATAAAATAATTAGCTTGATTGCACGCATCTTTATCACATATATGTAAACAACTTCGAAATCGTCTAAATGGATGAATCCAATGAAGTTTTATAAAACCACAATGACTAACACGATTTATTCCATTATCATCAGCTTCTTCTCGACCACACGTTCGATATATATATTGAATAGGCTTAGAGTCTACAAATAAATGAATATGCTTATTTATTATAATAAAGAAGACAATATTTTACCATCCGAGTAAGCAACTAATTTAATACAATATGTTGCAGGAAAGAAACCTTTACGGTCACGTAATTGAGTCATACATGGAGTATGAAGAAGTGATGGTTTACCAACTATATCTCCCTGAAATGAATCTTCACAGATTGGATTAGTTCCATTAATTGATGAACATTGATAACAAGACAATGATGATACTAGAAAATAATAATGAAGATTTTTAAATATTTAAAGAAAGCACCTACTTTTATCAATATTAGAAATCACAATTAATAGAAAAATAGAAAAATTCTGCATTATGATATTTTCTATTATTTCACTCTATCAATGTCGTTTTTTAGGAAATAATCTATATATATATATATATATATTTTGTTGATCTTTGCAACCATATATGTTGTCAGTTCTTTTTCTCTCATTCAAATGAGTCTGGCATACGAATGATTATGCCGACATGCTAGTGTTGATAATCAACTCTATATTAATCCATATGAGAAAGCCCACTTATCGTGCCACGATAGATGTGTACTAAAAAACACATGTTGCGTCTTATTTTCATGACAGACAAGCATAATACCAATCATTAGAATAGAGCACCTGACACATATATATTCTCCAAAAACAAAAAAAAATAAATTCAACAATGATAAAATATTTTTCATCAGTTGACGATATTCTCATAAAATTTTATTAGAAGCAAAACAAACAAATCAATTCATATAATAGATAAATAGCACAATTATATATTTTTTAACATTGACCATAATCACTTGTACCATGCACTTTCTTAATTCCATCACAATATAAATATAAATTTTCATAAGGTTTC